GGAACTGTGGAACTAATAAAAACAAATAATTCTTGGAACTTGAAGGGTCGAGGTTCAAAAAAAAGAGTTCAAAGTTCTGAAATGTAGAGCAGAGAAAAGTTATCAAGAGAATCTTAAATTGAATTCTATGATGAATCGGGAGCCAGGACTGGAGTTGTCTTCTGGCCAAAAGCTGTTGAGATATTTCACTTGTTGGTGGCGTTCCAGTGAAGGTCCATCCTCTGGGGACCAAGAGGCAGTCCATCAAAAACTTCAGATGGCTCACTATTCTGACCAACACCTGAATCTCCATCTATACAGTCATGCTGCAGACATGATTACAGCCTCAAAATACCAATGATGGTGTGAGCTGTTTGTGTTTTCTACCTTCCCGACACTGCTGCATGTTTTCTGTATCAGATGAGGAGCACTAGCACCATCTGTCCATCCAGAACACAGCAGCTTAGGAGGAGCGATCTTCTAGTGTTTGATACCTCTGCTACAAAATGGCCCCTAAAAGGTTAAAACTTGTTGAGATTTTTTTTTTCTTTTTCATTTTAAGTTGCTGGAGCTCAGCATGTAAAATCATCTGGAGCTTGCAGCGGTTATGTAAGAGTGGCAGACTTGGCTAATCCTTTTATCGAGAAGAGAGAGGAGCCTGCAGGGAAGCGCTTTCTCATCATTGAGACAAATCAGCCTATAAAGCGGACGTCTCAGCTGTGCATCCTCCACCGTACAGAAAAATCCTCTCATATACACAGCAGCCTCTGGACTCAGCTGGTAGAAATGAAACACAAAGTTATGAGACTGATAGTTTGTGTGAGAAAAGTGATGATCACTTTGTGTTATTAATAGCAGCTAGGATTCATACTTCTTATTCTTTAAATCCACTGGGCCTCAAACCATCCCCAAAATACTTCTCAAATCAAAAAAAGTTTTAGGTAATTTGTTATTATGCACCAATTATATTCATGTCATGTGCACACGCTGTGCAAACCGGCCATCATGTAAATGCTGTACACTTCTTGTCCTGCTTGCCAAGATTGCGTGCTCCATCATGAAGCGGGCTTTTTGTTCTTCTAAAGAGCCCTAAAGAAATGGAAATGCCTGTTGCATTTTGAAAAACCCTGTCGCTCTGTACAAAAGCATAACGAGCAGAAATCTGCGCGGTCATTCTGCGAGCTGATTGCTCTGCACTGCGGGTGCCAAGGCCTCCAAGCTTGAAGGACAATACCGGCTCTGTAGTTGTGACAATAGGTCTGCTCTCTGAGTCAGAAGTTGCGGAAGCGCTGATATTAGGGAGCTGAAAGTTGAGTTCAGGAGTGTGCACTCCAAGGAAGTAATCACGCAGAAGAGCTTTGGGAAAGAAAGCCCTGTACTCCCCCCTCAGCCGGTGCTGCCTTTGAGGAACTCATTGTTAGCACTGCCAGTGGGAGACATGAAGGGCTCTGCTGGCATGTGTCGGCCTCACTCCTCGGCAGGGCCTCAGCGCTGCGATGGCCAAGTGGGTGAAGGTTGTGTGTTTAAAAATCTTTTAAAATTTTTTAGAACATAAGCAAAGTAGTGAAAGACAGCAAGAGAAGGACAGTAGCAAATGCTTCCCAGCAAGTAATGTAGATCAATAGATAGAATATATTTCGACCCCTTTGCACACCAGGCATGCCAAAATATCAAAAAACTGGAATCAAAGGTTTTCCATACAAAATCTACTGATGTTAGAGGCCTCAACCGTTGGTAAATGTCAACCAAAGACTGTATCTATTGTGGGAAACATGGATACATCATATATGTGTATATATATATATATACACACTCAGAGGCACTTTCTAATACCAATAACATGTTTGTTTGAAAGATTTTTTTTTCCCATTTTCAAGGGACAATGATGAAAAACATGGCACCTTTTGGAGCAATTCAGTCATTTGGATATGCTGGAAACAATTATTGGGAGTCCTCATTAGATCTCATGTCTGTGGGAGTTATATTTCTGGAGTTATTGAACCTTAAAGTTGGCTTTCCCAGGAAGACGTTTTCTTGAGAGTGAGAATACAAAAATTCTCAGGTCTGATGAACTTCTCAAAATTCAACCAAAACATTTCACAGACAGACATTTCACTATCAATAGTATCTAGGAGGGAGCAGCAACATACAGATGAAACACCTACAGATGGGTAAGTTTTTTTTTTTTTTTCCCAGGTTGGCATCAACAAAAAAAACCCAAAACAAAACAAAACAACTGATCTTTGGGCATAAGCGAGTTATAATGCACTGCTATGCTTTGATTGAGATAAAATATCTTTAATAAATCAGATAAGTGATGGTTCACCCTCATACATTATTCATACATATAGTGCATCTGGAAAGTATTCATACCCCTTCACCTTTTCCACAGTTTGTTATGTTACAGCCTTATTCCAAAATGGATTCCATTCTTCTTTTTTTGTTCAAAATTCTACACACAATACCCCATATTGAAGTGAAAATCTTTTTTTGTTTTTTGTTTTTTTCAAATTTGCAAATTTGTATAAAAATAAAATAATCAAATATCACATGTACATCAATATTAACACCCTTTACTATGAAACTCAGAATTGAACTCAGGTGCATCCTGTTTCTACCAATTATCCTTGAAATGTTTCTACAACTTGACTGGACAACTTGAAAGGCACACACCTGTCTATATAAGGTCCCACAGTTGACAGTGCATGTCAGAGCACAAACCATGCCATTAAGTCAAAGGAATTGTTTGTAGAACTCCGAGACAGGATTGTATGGAGGCACAGATCTGGGGAAGGGTACAGAAGCATTTCTGCAGCATTGAAGGTCCCAAAGAGCACAATGGTCTCCATCATTTGTAAGTGGAAGAAAAACTTCCTCCACTGACCCACCATTACTCTTCCTAGAGCTGGCCACTGGCTAAAATGAGCCAAGGGCCTTGGTTAAGGAGGTGACCAAGAAGCCGATGGTCACGCTGACAGAGCTCCAGCGTTCCTCTGTGGAGATGGGAGAACCTTACAGAAGGACAACATCTCTGCAGCACTCCACCAATCAGGCCTTTATGGTAGAGTGGCCAGACAGAAGCCACTCCTCAGTACAAAGCACAAGACAGACCACTTGGAGTTTGACAAGAGGCACCTAAAGGACTCTCAGACCATGAGAAACAAAATTCTCTGGTCTGATGAAACCAATATTGAACTCTTTGGTCTGAATGCCAAGTGTCATGTCTGGAGGAAACCAGGCACCACTCATCACTCACCATCCTTACAGTGAAGCATGGTGTTGGCAGCATCATGCTGTGGGGATGTTTTTCAGTGACAGGAACTTGGAGACTAGTCAGGTTGAGGGAAAGATGAATACAGCAAAGTACAGAGATCTTTGACTAAAACCTGCTCCAGATTGCTCTGACCTCAGACTGGGCCAAAGGTTTACCTTCCAATAGGACAACGACTGTGAGCACACAGCCAAGATGACGAAGGAGTGGCTGCAGGACAAGTCTCTGAATGTCCTTGAGTGGCCAATCTCTGGAAAGACCTGACAATAGCCGTGAACTGACGCCACCCATCCAACCTCATTGAGCTTAAGAGGATGTGCAAAGAAGAAGGGAAGAAACTCCTCAAATCCAGGTGAACCAAGCTTGTAGCATCATACCCAAGAAGACTGGAGGCTGTAATCACTGTCAAAGGTGCTTCAACAAAGTATTGAGGGTGTGAACACTTAGGTACATGTGATATCTGAGTGTTTTACTTCTTAATACATTTGCAAAATTTTCTAAAAACATTTTCAGTTTGTCATTATGGGGTATTGTGTGTAGAATTTTGAGAATAAAAAAGAATTCAATCCATTTTGGAATAAGGCTATAACATAACATTTGGAAAAGTGAAGTGGTATGAATGCTCTCTGGATGCACTGTAGACAAAAGAAACCAGACAATCTTTAGGGGGGATGATGTCGAAAAGACTACACACACATATTTAAATATTTAATCCACATACTACTAATCTTTAGATAAGACCGTAAATGTGTGCTGAACTCACATACTCTTGTGTCTTGATTAAGCTTCAAGGAGCATAATAACTATCAATGCAAACACAACACTGTATGTGCAAGATGTAAGGAAACTGGATGTTGGTGAACGGTGTGAGGTCTCCCTCTGCAGGATTTAAGGGGAATATATTCTTTTTCGGAGTAGATCCTTCCACACGGCACCACTTGCTGATACATGTTTCAAAATGCAGTTTGTCATTTTAACAGGCTTCATCAGCTTAGAAACTTTTAAAATCATTTCAACACTCAAGTATAAAATACAACCAGGAGGGACCGTACGGCTTGTGATAAATTATCATTAAAATGACATTTTCTGTCGCACATTTCAGAAGAATGGTCATAATTACGAAAAGTAATATTAATTAACTTGATGGGACCTTGACTGGATAAGTGACAGAAGATTGATGAGTGAATCGTTCAATGAAAAATGCTTCAGTTATTTAAGCTAATTTCGTTTTTTGCTGCCCATTATGAGACAGTGAGCTTCTTAGCTGCTGTAGCTTGGTATAGGCTTTGCCTTATTGTTGAATTTGCAGGGAAGTAAATGTAGCTCCAGAGCATTAAGGGCTGACTGGTTGCCCGTATGAAAGAACTGACTCATCGAACATATTGGCGTGAGGGAACTGAGTCAATTAGAAAGACATAAGGAGGATTTATCAATCTCTGTGATGAATTAGTGTTGCAGGCGTTTGCTGTGGGCTTCATTCTGGACTTTATTACCTCTTACACTGCACTACCATTGTCATCAAACTTGCTGTCTGTCTGGATATGAATGAGTTCAGTTTGCTTTTTGAAAGGGCAAGAACTCAATTTTATGTATCGTACACGCCAAACAAAAGTGTCTGTGAGTGTTTGACAGGTTTTCATTCATTTTCTTGCGAGTTTAATCAAGATAAATGACCAAATGTGACAGATGAAAGTGCAAAAAAAGAAAAGAAAAAAAAAACATCAAATCACTCAAAAACTCCACAAAGGGCTCAGTAGGCTACAAATGTCGTTTTTATTATTACTTTAAATAATGTCTAAATAAAGGGACTAAAGACATGCTCATGTGACTTCTTCCATTATCAAAAATATGGTGTGGGGTGATGTTCACAGCAGAAATCTATCCAGGGAGGGAAAGCGTGCATCCCAAAGGTGAGACCGTTGTGGAGTCCATTCATCTGAAGACTGAACTTTGAAATAAGTCCCACCATCACCACGGACGGTGTCGGTTGTCAAAAGGGGGCAGTGATTTTTAACCAACAAAGTGTCACATTCAGAAAAGGAAAAAAACAAAAAAAAAGTTGTTTTCTTTTCTTATATAAAAACTGAAAGACCTGGATACATTTCTACGTTTCCCCATGTTTTTACTACAGAAATTAAAAAGCAAAGACATAAAGGAACACACAAAGGGGGCAAAAACAGCTATTTCATAATCAACTCCCTTTGGTAAAAACGGTAATAAATGGTCTTGCATTTGTCTTTTTCATATACATACTAACTTTAGCCATTTATCACTAAAGTCCACAGTAAGCTTGGAAAGTATTACTAGCACAACAACACAGATCTGTCATAAAAAGTCTGAGACTATGTACAATGTATTTACAACATAAGTGGCATGTGGACGAGTGAGTGTGTGTGTCTGTGTGTGTGTACAAGCTGGTGTATTGGCGGAGGGCATCTTAAAAAGGTTGACTTCCAGGGCGGCGAGGATCATGTGTGTTAATAGAACTATATATAATATATATACACAACACATACACTGGAATACATGTCAGTATCTGACATTCACAAGCTATACAATTTTACAGTCTGAGACCAAACAGTGTTGTGAGGCTAATTTTTTTTCTTTCTTTTTTTAATTTTTTTTTTTTTTTTTTTTTTTTTTATATTAGATGCAACAGTGCTTTTCTATGTTAACCCAACAATACAGTTTGGGGCTCAGGCACAGTTTCTAATAATGCTGCCATGTGTTTTGGAAAAGGAAATGTAACCCTCTTTCCGTCTAGTGATGATACATGATTGTGATTTGGCCGTAACGCAGGAATGTCTGAACCAGCTCTCTCAGACTTTACTGAGCTCCCTCCAAACCCTCAATCTGGGAAACTTCTGAAACACTTTCCTCTTCCTAAATAAGTGCACTTGTCCATCATATTGTTTTCCACGGATACTACAGCATAACACTTTCATAAAGAAATCCCTGTATGATTGATTTTGATGGTGCTCTTACTCTGATGGCTTCAGACAACGCGGTCAGTCGAAGGCTAAACCGAAGCTCAGTTGTGATAAAGTACAAAAAGCACCACTCTGTCTCTCACAGGCTCACTGTTTACGTCAATAAGCCCTGTCCAAAAAGGCTCAAGGAAGTTTTGTGACGTGGCTCTGAGTGCTGGTAAGCTCAGGTCTGCGACTGGAACATGACCATTCCTAAGTTTTGGCACCAAAGGCCCTGCGAAAAAATGGGCCCAGCTAAAAACGCTGGTAAAAATCAGTAATCCTGCCGCCCCAGGTGCAACTTACACGGTAGCTAGCTTAATTGTGCTCCCATGTCGGCCTTAAAAACACATGAATAAGCCCTCGTCCCTACCTCTAGTCCTGACCTGTTTGACTTCAGACCAAACACCCCCAGAAGCCAGTCCGTCTCCTCTTTCTCTGACGTAGCTCCGGTGTGGCTACTGCGCCTTGCTGGGTGTGCTGTATTTGACGCGGTACTTGTTGATGTTCATGAAGTGAAGGACCTCTGGGTGGCGGGTGGTGGTGCAGGGCAACAGGCCGTCGCGTCCTTCGCCCATCAGCCACTTGTTGGTCTCGGCGTTCATGTCGCGGGTGACGTGCTCTTTGACCCACGCCTCCACCCAGGCCTGGAAGCGTTTGTGCAGTCGCGTGCTCACCCTCTCATGTGACTGAAGGAAAACAAGACGGATGTTACTGGCATTAAACCGATACAGCGTTCAGCAGGTAGAAAATGATTTTAACACAGCTAGAGAAGAGCCTTGACATTTATTACAGATAACTTGACGTTTAGCACATGAAGGAACAGACCTTGAACACTGAATTGTCAAACTATACTTGGTGTTCTGTGTGCCAGTGGGATGCATCAATAGCATTTCTGCTTTGAGCCCAAACAATCGCTGTTCTGCTTTTTTTTCCTGCTTTTCCTCACTTATCGTTACTGTGTTTTACAATATGTTACTTCCTGGATAAAAACCTACACAAACAACTGTGTTGCAGTAGGTGGTAACAAAGTTATCCGCTGATTGAGCTGACAGTTGAATTCTTTCAGCAAAGTATTTTTGAATGTTGACGCAATCGCCTAAAGGAAAAGTCTGACATTTTAGGATTGCAGTTTTCTTGCCAATAACTACAACACACAAGAGAAGTGAGTACACCCCTGGGTTATATTAATTAAATGTCTAACAATTCAAAATTGCATCACCTCACAATAATTGCATTATTTCTACGTTGACAAGTACAGCGATTCCTCTTATGAAGTAACAAATACTTGAGAAAGACAGCATTGAAAATACAGGCCACAGTGGAAAGTGAATGCAACAAAACTAAATACACAGACACAGTTAGAAAACCTGTGATCACTAAAACAAAACTGAGTACACCTATGATTTCCAATCAGCCTGATTATATGGTTTTAAAATTAACTGTATGAACTTGATCTATTTTGAATCTGTGGGCTGTGTTTATCTGCACGTCTGCATCATGGCTCCACATGGAAAAGAGTTGCTGAAAGAACTAAAACAAATCTGATTGAGAGACTTCACAAAGACAGAAATGATGCAGGAAGACCTGTGATCAAATAAAAAATAGTAGTAACCCAGTCCCAGCAGTCAGCAGGAGAATTAGAAGCAGCTATAGCACCACTAGTCAGAGTCACAGTGGTTGTCCTCCTACGACGGCAACATGGACAGTTCTCTACTTTCACAATCAAGTTCTAAAAAACACTCCTGCTGGCTATATGGATCAAAACTGCAGGATGAAACTTTGCTAAAGTGCATGCAAAGATATCTGATGAATATTAGCAGCTGATGTTTTATTCAGCTCAGATGGGGTCCAGCATGTTTGTCAGGACTACCACGGTGAATGCATAGCCCTGACAGTGAAGCACAGAGACAAGACTGAGATGATATGAGGCTGCATCAGTGCAAAGGGTGTTGAGGAGATAATATTTATAGATGCCACGTGAATGTCGCTTCACTGGCTTCCAGCTGCTGCCCACATCAAATTCAAAACCCTGACACTTGCTTACAAAACCACAACGAGAACAGCTCCCTCCTATCTGAACTCTCTCATTCAGATCTACACTCCCTCTTGCTCGCTACACTCGACCAACAAAAACAGCCCGATACAACCACCACAACAGGGCCCGAGGTCGATATCTAGACTCTTCTCCTCTGTGGTTGCCCGCTGGTGGAACGAGTTACCAAACTCTATTCAATGTACTGATTCCCTCTCAGTCTTTAAGAAAAGACTAAAGACCCAGCTCTTCACTGAACACCTTTGCACTTGACAGCCCGGAAAACAAATAAACAAACAAAAAAATAAATTAATTTAAAAAAAAATTCCTATTACTTCCCACACAGCCTGCTGTTGGCATCAACGTCCTGTCACATTTGAATTTGGTCTATGGCACTTATCTAGATTGTTTTCTCCTGACTAGATCCTTGCTTGTGTTGTATCTGCTCTCAGATGTAAGTCGCTTTGGATAAAAGCGTCTGCTAAATGAAATTGTAGAACTGTCGAATGTCTGTGGATACAGTGTTAAACTGACAAAATGACTCCTAGTCTGCAGAAGTTTGACAGAAGGAGGAATATTCCAGCAAGATAACGATCTGAAGCACACAGTCAAAATCACACAAGAGAAAAAAGTGAAACTATGACGTGGCCAAATATGTCGTCTGACTTGAACGCAACAGAACACCTTTGGGGTATTTTAGAGAAAAAAGGCAGAGCACCACAACCTCTCTAGCAAAACGCAGCTGAAAAAAAAGCCTCTATATAATAGCAGAACACCTTTCTAGAGATGTCGGTATCTTACGTGTTAAAAATGAAGGTGGTAAAGTTCCTTCTGTGGGTTTTTTATTTGAAATAAGTACATTTGTCAAAAAAATGTAAACTGTTAGTTTTGTCATGAAGTAATGCCCTTAATGTATGGTGACACAATTTTGAATCAGTTGACATTTAAGTGATATTGCACAGGACTTTACTCCCTTCTGTTGTATACTGTATATTTGGAAATCGATACCATGAAGCCAAGAGACGGTTATCTTTGATTGCTATATTGGAAAACAGGAAACAAAGAGCTTGACTCTGTTGTAACAAACATTTACCTGATAGCACCTCTAAAGCTAACTAATTTTAAATGGTCTGGCACATAAGCCCCCTCTGTTCTTTAATCCGGATTTGATGCAAAGGGGTTAATGCAACTCGATAAGCGTTTTAACTGTGATCACTTCAAAAAAAAAAAAAAAAGCTGCCAAGTAAATGACTGAATATTTGAACTGGAGCAAATTATTTGAATCGGCAACATACTTTTGCACTTAGAAAAGTTAATTTAAATGCATTGGATGTGAGGTATTGAAAAAAAGCTTTGACGCTTTAGAGGTAACTTTGGAACAACCTGCTGAATTGCTGACTGGATTTGTGTCTCAGTTTGATTGGATTTTAGAAAAAAAAATAAAAAATGACTTCATCTTTGCAGTATTTGTAATCATGTGGGACACTGTGATAAAGTTAGAATTCACATTTTCAAATTTAAATAATCCTTGGGAGACCTTGTCTGTTACTGGCAAACACAAATACTGATCATCTCTTTGAAATTCAAAAAAGGTCATCAGATTTTGCTGAAGACTCCACACTCTCAAATAACACACTGTGAAGTAACACCGTTGCTCTTCCCCCTGACACAGTAAATATAGGAGCAGAGGAAGGAAGACATATGTTTTCCATATCAACTCAGTGAATAAGTGGAGTCCAGTGAGATGCAAGGTAACAGTAGCTGGTAAATACCTGGTGAGCTCGCAGCAGGGCAGTGCGTCGGTACATGTAATCCTCAGACTTAAAGACGTACACCATCTTGTAAGAGTTGAGTTTGAACATGCACTCCATCTTCTCCTTCTCCAAAGACTTCTTGCCCCCCTCGCAGGCCTCCTTGTCCAGCTGCTCTCGGCCCTTCTGGTACTTCCTGATCCGTCTCAGATTCCTAGTTAAGAGCGCAGATACAAGTATCATGAGAGCTGCTAATAATTTGCAAGAAAAACGTGTCAGAATTAATGTTGGTTAAATTTACCGACTCATGTTTGAAATTTGACTTTCAGAGGATGAGGTGTGTCAATGAGCTGTGACAACACGACTAGAAGCGAGAGCTCACCTGGGAAGAAAAACAGGCTTCTGAGCGAGGTGCTCCCTCAACTCAGGAGTGGTGGAATCTGGGTTTAAATAGCGTCCAACATAATCCGACCAACGCTGCAAACACAAAACCAAGTTTAAGACACAGATTAGGTACAGCAACACTACTACTGCACCAGTATTACCAAAAGGTTGGCAACAGGTCCTTACTAGTATTTCCACTCCAGCTTGAAAAGTGGACCCTCTTACTAGACAAAATGTAAAAACAACGACACTTATTTTCTGTATATTAACACCCCCATATACAGTAAGCATGAAGATAATATAATGTAAATGACCAGTTTAGCCCACCCCTGACCTGAACTTCATTAAATACCACATACCATTAGTGTGAGAATTAAAGACGGGCTAAACAGAGAGCCAAATATTGTCACACATGTTGGTTTTTGATAGGTGTAATATAACATAAATAGCATTATAAGGCTACTATCCATCGCAGAGGCTCTGTTTGATGAAAAAATCCCAAGTGCTTTGCAAAAAAAAGAGGACATGCACGTGTATATTTTGAAATACAATGCATTATCAGTTTTAAGAAGTTATTTTCCTGGTGCTCATGGACCAAAGCTCAAAATGAAAAGGTTTGGAGTGTGTTAACAGTTTCTTACCTCGGCCTCCATGGGCTCGTCTGAGTTCTCTTCCTCTGTGTCGAGCAGCTCCACTGTGAGCTGCACCTGCCCTCTGTTTCTCAAAAACATCACCTGAGAAGGTAACAGAATAATAAGTGTGAGAGTGAAATTAATTCATGGAAGTTTCACGAAAGCACTCAATTTGATATCCTGAGGGCTCAGAGGACTGGACGAACAGGGTCCTTGCTCTAAGTCGTGCAGTCTCTCTAAACCATTGCTCTTTCAGCCTTGTACTTGTTGTACTTGAGACTTTCTAATAAATGAGGAAGAGTAGTGTTTCTTGAAACATCCCTCGCTTCTGTTTTCTGTGAGGTCATTTTTCAATCAAAAAGTCACGGCAGGTTGATTTAGCTTTAAGCCATCAAAATTGGATATGTAATTTCTTTTTTGGCAAAATGGGATACATGTTAAATGTAAATTGAAGCTTTTAAAGTAGGTCAAAAAGGAAATTTGCTTGTGGGCAGCAGGTGGCTTTAAGCAGCTTTACACATTGCCAGTGCTAAATGAGACCAAGTGGTAATGATTTTTCTATTACTGTAACTTTTCCCTAAACCAGGGACCTGTTCAGCAAAGAAGAAAAGGGCTGGTGACTCACACCCTCTGAGGCACTCCCAGTTTAAAAAAAGAATTGATACGGAGTAATGATGCTAATTACTAAGATCACACACACGACACGTTCCTGTTTACCTACCCGGCTGCTTTGTCAACTTTTCAGACTCTTCGCGAAGGAAAGGGACTGAAATCTAGCACTCGCAAACAACCCTCTGCACAGCACTGCTTGTGTTTCACTCAGCGGTTTTAATTTGTTACAACACGGAGAAGATTTATTGGCGGCGAACACACCCCAGAACAGAATTTAAATAAAAACAGTATGAGAAATCACCAGCTAGTAAAGGTAGGATGTTCCTCCGTTCCTGCAGTTAATAAACTCTGACATCTGGATTAAGTGTAGCAACCACTCCTGCTGCCTTGTGGAAAATGACTTTTAAGTACCTCTCCTGAACTTTAAATGAACTAATTTCCAAAACTTAAGCAAAACAGTTCCTCTCTTATAATCAAATAGCATCATGTCAATGGGTTTTCCAGTGACCTCCATTACCTTGAAGCAGTTCTCGTCAGACATGAGCTGCTCGGCTTTCCGCTGATACACCGCCTCTGCAGAGCTCCTTGAAGACTGTGTGGACATGGTTCCTCCGCTGGCCCCGTTAGTGCTCTCTGCCAGGTAGAGGTCTGTTACTTGGACACAGATCTCATCACTCACGATGTGCTGAAGCTGGAGCAACAAGAGAACATTAGGGACTGAACATCTACTACTACAATAACTCACAAATCTGCGGTTAAGGGAACGCATTCTCACCTGCCGTACGATGCTTTGGATGAGTTTGTCCATTGTGAAGGCGATGTAAGCATGAATGGTGAACATTTCTCTCAATGAGTCCTCATATTGAGAAGCTTCCATGTTTCCATCCAGCAAATTCCTAACCATTTCCAAGAAGGCCGAGTAATAATCCTCCACCTCAATGTCCACTGGAGAGAAGAAATATTTAAAAATCAAATGGCTAAGTAGATTAACATGTGAATGAAATTCTAGTGGAATATCCACTCTGCATTTACTTTTGCAATCAATTTTGCCTATTGACACTGTTGCTTAATCATCAGTTCCACTTAAACCAAAGACCAAACTTTTAAAATCTTTCTCCTGTAGTGTGTGAATATGAATTATATGTTAGAGAGCAGGAATTTAGTGCAAAAGCCAAAGTAAAGTTTCACAATATGTCTTTTTTTCCCCCAAAAGGAAAAGCAAACAAATGCAATATATTTCAGCTTAATGTTACTCACTGGGCTCCTTCAATCTCAGCTGGATGGCGGGATTGTCATTCTTCTCCTTCTTGAGTCCCAGGACTTCCCTCTCCCAGTCTCGTTCTCTGACCTCCTCTTCGATCTGCCGCTCCGCCTGTCCGTAGAGCCGCAGCAGACGTGAGCACAACGTCTGGTGCAGTCGCAGGAAGATGTACCAGTTGTTGTTGACGTAGAAAAGGTTGTAGGCATCGTCACAGCCGCGCAGCTTCTGCGCTGCTGTGTTGCTGAACAGCAGCTTGGACTTGGAGGGGCTCCCACTGCCGGGGACGCCGTTGTGCTTTTTGGAAGCTCCTTCCTCCAGTTCCATCTCTTCCTCCTCCTCTTCCTCCTCCACATCTGAGAGCTCGCCCCGCTGAGAGAACAGCATGTCGGGGATGAAGTGGTAGATGATCTGCTTGATCTTGTATTTGTCTTCCTTCTGGATGCTGGTCTGCCGCTTGACGTGGTGGATGATGAGTGCCGCTGCATCCTCCAGGATCTGGCTGTCCTCGTAGGCCAGAGTGAGGTGGGGGCCTGTGAGTGGGGTGGCATTCTCCTCAGACGCCTGCTCCTGGCGCTACAACACAAAACAACTCAATGTCAGTGTTCTGGGTACAAAAATACACTATTCTGTGTGGTGACAACCCTCCAAATAGAAATCCAGTGGAACATTGATTTTTTTTAAAAATCAGTTTACAATTATAAGGCCTTTCATTTTTACAAATGCCAACAATGTTCCACCACTTTACTGAGAGACTGAGAAAGAAATTTACCTCGTCATAGATGCTTTCGATTTCGTTTAGCAAGGACTTGGATCGAAGCACTTTGGTGTCATTCTGTTTGAAGTTGATGCCTTGATGGTCGAGAGACTTGAGGTAATACTTCTCGTTCTGCTCCCTCCAGATTTTGTTGAAGCCTCTTTGGGCTTCCCGCCACTCCTCCTCCTTTGTCTTTAACCTGGTTAAAAAGAGAACACAAAGTCAAGTAATATACACACACACACACACACACACACAATCGCTGAATGACATATTAAACTAAAACTTTCACACTCAACAGTCTTGGGATTACCAAGTTTAAACACCACGGTTCACAACCTCAGTTTGGACACAAAAGAAGTTGGTGTTCATACATTTCTTGCACTATGTAAACTAAGAGGCCGGTGATTCCAGCAGTTGTGCTTGTGTGTGCAACTTACTCAATGTTCTTAAAGAAACAGAAACTCAAACTGTAGAGCAGCTTTATGTCACTTTAACTTAATTACTTCCACAAACAGATCAAACAATTAAAGGATAACAGTAATAACATTGCCCCAAAATAAGATACAGATTAGGAGCACATAGTTATGGTCAAAATTATCACTAGAATTACTTTTCATTGCATTTTTAAATATAAATAAACAGAGTACTGCTTTCCCTTCCATGTTCCTGCTGAAGTACAAATCTTTGCTTTAAAATAAGACCCAAAATGAGGTTCTTTTTCATCTTAAATCCCTGCATCTCCAACAGGCAAAATATAAATAACATTCTACCCAAACGTCTTACTTGCAGAACATCTGCTGTTCCATAGACACTACAATTTATCAATGTTCCTTAAACACGTCACATGCAGGCTATGGTCGACCCTAGCTAGCGACTGTGCAGAGAGACACCTCTAGTCTCCACTCAGTTACTGGAACTGCACTTCACTCAGACAGCTGTGTGACCAAAATATACTTAATAAGGTGTTCTTATGTGACTTTATCTACATGGATGTCAACACTGCAGCCGATCATGTTCATTTAATTGTGAGAGGTCAAAATCATGTTTGTGATCAGTAGTTAACTAACTGTGCAGGCATAATACAGATACAGTAAAATATTGAGGCACTACTACTCAACACTCACCTTTTTAACACAATGGGAACAGAAACAGCAGGGTTCTTCTTCAGGCCGTCAATGATGTCGGGTGCTTTGTCTCCGTATATCCTCTGAATGGCTTTGCGGTGTATGACCTCCGAGGAGCCACCCAGCGTGTTGTCTAAGCGGAACTTAGCCTGCTCTTCCGCAGACATGCGAGACAACTTCCGCTGTACCGTCTCCAGCACTCTGATGGTCGCCAGGTTGGTCTCCAGCACAACATCCAACTATGTGGAGGAAAAGACCATTGTTTTTATCACCTTGACCTTTATTATTTTCATTCTTATTATTATTAAAAAGCTCATTATACTCCTGCTTCTTCTATAATGTTTCCATAGTATCTGAAGAATATTTTGTTCAGGGTCTTCTCACAATAACATATGAGAAAGAATTTCTTTTTGAAAGAGAGAAACACATTGTGTGTTGGAATAAATGTATTTTTCTATCCAGGACATCACCCTAATGGTAACACCATCACAGAGAAGTCATACATAAGTAATGTTGCTGCTCACCTCAAAGCGTTCATCCTCACACCTGTAGATATGCTCCTCATACTGAGTCTTTTTGGAGCTGACAAACGTGGAGTCTTCAGACCAGGAGGGGAAGGACACCCATGTGTCATTTAAGACCTGGATACAGCAGGAATACACCATGTGTCACATTTAAGCCTCTTATTAGTATGGAAATTAACTAAACTATTGTGCAAGAGGATGAGCTGATGAATGTAAGTTTTAAGCACATACTGTCCTAACAAGTAGCACCTCTCACCTCTTTACAAAGTGGAGTTCTGCCTGTACACTTGGGCTGCTGGTAACTTTTGGGCAGGGCTCTGTAACTGGAGCCTAGTCTCTTACAGGAAGCATAATCAATCTCCATGGCGATGCCCTCGGTGGCCCGTTCCTTGGGGTATGTTTCAATGTGGGACATTTCGCGATATCCCAGGAAGTTTTTGAACCAGTTGAACAGCTCAGGAAATTTTCTGTTGAACAGAATTAAGTTTTTAAAACAAAACAAAACAAAACAAAAAACACTCATGAGATAAACAATTTACTGTGGAACTCTTATTCTGCGTGGTGGGAGAAACGACTGAGCTACTCACCCTAAAAAGGGAAGCACCAGCTGCACCAGTTCAGCCCTGGAGATCACCTCTTGATTAAAGATGACCAGACACCGCAAGAAGTTGTCATAGGCCTCTGCACTCCGCAAGGCTTTGCGCACCTACAATGAATTTAACAACAGTTAAATGTCAACAGCACACAAAATGTTATTAGGTCTTTTAGTATATTTTTGAATGATTGAATTTCCCTTCTGGGATAAATAAAGTATTTTTCATTTCATTTCATTCATATTTTAACTTTTGGAAAACAAACAAGAAACATCAGTTTATTACTGGAAGACTAAGCTTGACTCTATTGTCACATTGGATATATCACAATGACTGTTTGAATTCAAAAACTGTGCATTACTTTGCATGTTCTTAACAAATTATAAACAAAAAGCTTAAGCGTTTCACTATTTTTATATTGTTCTATAACTAAAACATTAAATGAGGGTTTTAACATTTGCACTTCACACAAGTCGTAAAGCAATCAATATTACTGTTTGAGGCTGAGGGGGGTTATTGATGGTATACTTTACAACTGAGTTCTGCCTTGCGATTCATTTCCCATTGATTTTAAACACATTTGTTTCCCTCCTTCTTTAGACTAAAATCCATTATAACACAAACTTACCTTCTCAAAGAACAGAGATTCTGTGCCGACTCCATGCTTGCTGGCTTCTGCCACCGAGGAATCTTTTAAATTCAGTAACTTCGGCTTCTTCTGCAGCATTACCAAAACAGCAGTAAGGGGACACAGGTAAAAGAATTAGAAAACTATCAACCAACGGCTGACATGAAACATGAAAGTAATAAAAAGCAAACAGGGCTTGACTATAGCTGTATGAGTATGCGTGTATGCACCTTGACAGGAGGTGTGGACCCTGGAGTGGGATGGCGACGGATCTGGCAGCCGTTCTGATTGGGCCTCTGCTTGTTGTTGAGCTGCAGCTTTTTGGCGGTTCCACCGTGGTCGTTCCGTACGGACTCTGCCTTCTCAGCCGTGGTTTTATTTAACAGCTGAGGAAAATGCACAACACTGATTGAGACACGGGTACATGAATATGATCTCTGAAGACATATAACAGCACTACCACTACTGGTGGAAGAGTACTGAAAAATACTCCTTAGTGTAATATGTAAATGAGCTTTAACTACATGTCTGAAGTTACATTTAGTATTTCTGCGTTAATGTACTTCAAGTGATCTACTTAACATGATGACTCTGCTCACCACTGAACTGTTGGCATCAGGGAGAAATTGCCCAAACTCTGAGAGCAGGTCCTCTTGGTTCTTGAAGAGCCTGGCCACCTGAGCATACACCTCCTGTTCCGTCAGAGCGGGTGTGTAGTTCCCTCCAGCCTCCTTAGCGTTACGCTGCTCCTTCTGTAGTGGACCAACACAAGATATGTGAAAATTAAGAAACGCCGTCAAGCCTACTTTAAGCAGCACTTCCAGACAGCCTTTTAATTCAAGTAGTTTTTAAGCTAAATATTACTTCAAAAGTTTTACTGGGGGTGTTCGGGTTTCAGGTCGAGCCACAGACCTGGTACGTGTGGAGAATCTCCAGGAAGGCTTTGTAGATGTCGGGCTGACCCTGGAAGCGGTTCTTGATCTTGTTGACGTAGTTGATGGCGTGGTTGAACTCAACGGGTTGGTTGTTCTGCATGGGTGGGCCAGTGGGCGTCCCGCTGAGCGGTGGATGGAGCTGCATGGGCGGGGAGCGAGGAGAGGTGTATGCTGGGATGGACGGATTGCTCTGGCTGCTCGGTGTTAACGCCTGGGGCTGAAGTGGCTAGAAGATAAAAGGTTATAGAGTACTTAAGCATGTGCTACGTGAGAAAACACTACATTTTTTTACTTGAATGAGACTGTGTGGAGATGGGAATGACATTTCTTTTTACAGCTTTGTTGGTGTCTGCCTGTCTGCTCTCACTCTGCATTTGATTCTCACCTTGCTCATCTTGGCAGGGGTGGGCTGCGTTAGAAGGGGTGGAGCAGTGGTGGTCGCAGCAGAAGGGAGCTGGGGCTGATGTTGGGTAGCTGCTCCAGTTATGGGGATGTTTTGGACAGAAATGCCATGCGGGGTGATGTGGTGGATCTGACCGGGCGTTGTCACGTTGACTAGGTCGTTGGTCTGGACCTCGATCTTGTAGCCAGGAGGCAGGAAAGTGTTAAAACCCATGATGAGGTCGGGATGACCTTTGAAGAGCTGTGACACTCTGCTGATGACCCCAGGAGTGTCAATACTGGAAGCACAAAAACACAGAGAGAAGGAATTTAAACCTCACTACACCTAGTATGTACATTAAAAAAAAACTTGCAACATTTGGAGGCAATATTTTTAGCTACCAGTTGTTCTGTGCAAACTAGGACTGTGAAAACATGCTTGCTATTTTTATGGAAGAAAAAAAATCTAACTATTGTAGAAGTGAAAGACTATTCAAAATATTTTTATGAGGCTGAGACACAGGAATAATTCTAGTTAGATAATACTGTATCTTGCAAAAACATCAGTTTATCAGATATTATCTTGTCCTTCTGTAGGCAGTAACTCACAAGTTAATTATACTAGAACTGCACTGCACACTAGAGGTACCATGACATTGTTTGCCCAAATAAGGACAAAAGAATAGTAATGGACAAGACGTGCATTTTGAACGAGATGGTCGGTCAATTTTGTATCTACAACTCACTGTATCTTTGTGTAAAATCAAACAGTGGCCTCACCTTTGGGACTTGAACTCCTTCATTATATCTAAAAAGTCGTTGTAGACCTGAGGCTGGTTGCCAAACTGCAGTTTCACTTGATCCAAGTAGGACAAAGCATCTTCCACCTTGGGGAGACAAAAGGAGAAAGTCAATTTCATCTACCGATCAGTTTCTCTTTCACTTTTGGCAGCAGTGCTCTTATTCTGATATAAAACAACCTTCTTACAGCAATACAACCATTATAAAAAACATAAAAACACAGAAAATGAAACAGTATATAACTCTGAATTTCTCTACAATACGTTTGGCTTAATGCTTTCAATGCCCCACATTGAACCATCTGCACAAATATCTTTGACCTATGCAGGTTGCACATTAGGATGAAAGAACATGTCAAAACGGGCTGATGAACCTTGAGCCTCTGGAACTGCTGCTGGCCCTGTGCAGAAGCTTGAGGAGCAGCTGTATGGCTGTGCCCTGACATCACTGAGGGCCCGTGGGACTGAACTGCCGGGCTGTGGTGGTGGGACCCTCCATGGACGGCTGGGCTTGGAGTGTGCCCATGTCCGCCACTGTTCTGGGCCACGGTGGGAACCTGTGAAAGCAGAGACATTTTGTTAAACTGAGATTAAAACCTAGTTGTAAAAGATTTGGTGGCTGGTGCTGTGACCTTGTCATGAAAGGAAGAATCGCCACAAAGAACGAGCGCACTGCAATTCATCTTAATAAAAAAACTAGGCGTGCTGACAAAAAGAAAAAACAGAGCTTCAGTTTCTGCCTCTGACAGGCGCCACAGACTAACAAGGATTGAAAAGCCTGAGCTGTGAGCACTGGGATAGTAAAAATGGATGTGTTTTACCAAGTTTTAACTCTAAAGCAACATAAGCTTCAAACAAATCAGGACTGGACAAACCGGGCATACCTGGTATCCCTGGGGGACGGAGTACTGGACGCCGGCTGTGGGCTGCATGTTGTCGGTCACGGCCTCATACACAGCTGGAGCTGGAGCAGGGGCCAGGACACGATGCTGGAAAGCCTCCGCGTTGCCAGCGAGGCGCCGCTGCTGGGACGCAAAAACCGTTTCCTGATCCTCCAGACGCCGCTTCATTATGAACTCATACTCGTGAGAGCTGCGAGACCTGAGAATAAAAAGCAGCATATGGACCTTATTTCACACCAGCAGACCCCCATCAAGTTATCAGAATCTATTAAATCAGCCTCTTGATTTTATTCAATAATTTCTAAAGGGCCATATGGCAATAATTTTTTTTATTCTACTGTGAATTTATGGACACACACAGTGCCAACGAACCACTTTTGTTGTTTAGCTTTGACAAAAAATGACTACACAGTCTCTGACCATTGATCTAATGAAACATCCAATGCTTTTAGCAGCACAAAGAAGCCCAGTGGCTTACAGAGGTCAACTACGTGGGAAAATATTGATTTATTAGCATGTGATGGTGCAGGTCAGTTTTATTTTCTGTTATAGTTTGAGGGCACTCTTTTCATCAGGAAATATACCAAAGTTGCACGGACATAAGTCTGTGTTTGTCATTGTAAACCGCGTCTGATTACACGTTTGTTTGAACAGGCTGGTGTCTTGGGCCTCTCCCACAACTCAAGCCCAGAAGAGTATACACGAGGGATGTGCTGATCAGCCCCAAACCAACAGCTCCATCCCAGTGCATACGCAAAAAAGAAAATAGCAACATTACTATGAGAAGGTCATGGGGATGGTGGAGCAACAGCAAGGAAATTAGGAAACTTGATATGAGTGCACATACAATTAAAATAAACAACTATTTAAATCTGTTGTCAGATGACAGAAAATCCATAAGTTTATGTCGTTTGTCCAGCACAAATACCAAACATTCTCTGTTTACAGCTTTTAGAATAAGAGGAAAAGCTGCCTCTCTTGTGGTTATGTGATAATAAATTGAATATATATTTACATTCTGGGCTGCTGATTGAACATAAAAGGCGATCTGAAAACATCTTCTTCTGTTTGAAGAAACTGTGGTGGGCATATTGCCACAGTACAAAGTGATTAACTGATAACGAAAATGTTGCCCTGGTGCGAGAGAGTGTGTGTATATTTGGAATACACAGGCAAAGTTAGCATGTAGGGGTGGAAAACATATGACACAGCACCTTGAAACAGGAACTGACTGATTATCTACCTGGCTGATTGGATCCATATTGATCACTTTTATGATTGTCAGTGATTCTCAATAATATAAATTAATTTCAAAAATAAGTGCTGCTTTGGATCTGATACAGCTGCCTCTCTCTATCTGTCGTCATCCCTCAGTGCTGTGATTAATATCTTTTCACAGCACTGACTGGTTACACATCATCATATCAATACTGAAGGATGAACTCTGATAACGTATCTTTTATTTAAACACATGCAAAATCTAAATAAACAAATGTATTTGTAAGCTTTGCGTTATTCTACATTTTGACGCTGAGATTTCAATTTCTATTGTGAATTTAAATCTGTTCCAATTATGGGTCATCCGTCTCCTTGAACACTAATAATCGTATCAGTTGGGAAAATAATATATTTGTCGCTCCCCATTATGAAACTTTTCTTCCTGCCTCTGGTGTTTTGCACCTGCAGTAACTGCTGTACTTCTTTGGACAAGAAGGTAAAAATGACACTGAAAGTAGTAGTAGATGATTATTATCATTTACTTCATTGTTCTTGTTATAAAGAAAACTGCAGGTTTAGTCAGTAAACATTGTCTTTTTTTTTTTTTACTAATATATAGGACTTGATCTACTACATTCCTTGGGAAAAGCTAACAGATTTTTCTTTATATATGATGAAAGGCTGGGAGTATGAAATGCATCACAGCACAGCGTGTAAAAGCTGCCGTTTGCGCCCTGATTTCTCTGTAATGCTATCACCAACGTGGGGTTGCTGAGGCTGTGCTGGGCTGCACATCCTAAACGGATCCCAGCGTTAACATGCACTGGATGTATAACTTGAGCCTCTGCAGCCAATGAAACACTGACAGCCTACGTCACCGATGCAACAAACAGGTGCTGTGGGAACGTGGGAGTCCGTCTGCCATTCACAACTTCCTCAAGACACCAACAACTTATCCTCATTGCAATGAATGACGCTTCCGTAAGAGCAAGCTAGAAACCCGACTACTACGAATAAATTAACCCGAATGTCGAGGCAAAGTGACACAATGACAGCCTGAAGTGCCCGTGTGTAGAGCCGTACCGCTGGCTGCTCCGACAGCGGAGCACCGCGGAGTCCTCCACCGACAAATTCTAGCCACCACCAGTCACAGAAAGCGAGGCTGTAGTATTTATAGATATATCAACTTCACTCGGTGTAGTACCGTTATAGTCGCCTACAGGCAAAACGCGGCTACGTCTGCTACATGCTAACAGCCGACAACCATCCCCTTTATGGCCTAGCAACACAAGCACCGACCTCGAGTTACAGCACGACGCTTTCCCCACGCCCGCCATTTAGAGCGTGGCACAGGAGTTCAGCGAATTACCCTCCATTTCAAGCAGGTAAGCACGAAAAGTGTCTGGCTTGCTAGCCGTCTTCCTGACAACCGAGCCTGAGGCATTTTCAGAGTTTTTATCTCAATAACTTCGCCGAGAACTTGTTTTGTCGACACGGGCTGCGAGCTGCCAGTTAGCTACTAGCTAATGTAAACAACATGGGCAGCCCGACACCGAGCACCGTCCGGGGCTAGGAGGGAAGCACATGCAGCTAATCAATAGCGGTCTGGTTTGCTGTTGCTGAAACAGATTGTCTGTAGCAAGAATTAACTATCGATTTGTTAGGCTGCTCGTTTTAGGTCTATCTGTGAGTGAATGACATGTGAAGAAACGCCGATCCCTCGTATGCTGTACTTAAAACGTCTGCTAACGGCAGGTAGCTAGCTAGCCGTGTTAGCTTGCTGAATGAATTCAGCTGAACTCACCCCTCTCCCAAATAGCAAGCAGAAGTTCGCAGATGATGATCTGGTGATCCGTTATTCGTGGGTTACCCGCTACACCTCTGAGTGAAGAAGACACCGAAGTAAAGTATGTGTATGTGAAAAGCAACTTAACAGTGGCGTGTGACTTAAAATAAACAATTCAAGCAGTGGGCTGCAAAGTGAAAATCTCCCCGAGAGAGGAAAACAATCTCCGTTCGGTTAGCTGTAGAGGGGGCGGGGTTCTCAGCCAGAGTCCCGCCCCCTGGTGGACACTATTGGTCAGCTTGTCCAGAGAATCGCAGGAGGGCGGGGTGACGAAGTGGATTGGGTATTTGAGCTGTCAATCAATGATTTATCGGACAGTTACCATGCACGCCCATTTTGACTTGACTAGAAGCGCGACAATACCAGCAGTGAGTGCAGCACTAGAGATGGATAAATGAACTTCTCCTTCAGGAAAGTACTTTACGCTGCAAACATGTTCGAGTAAAAGTAGTATAAGAGCCTATTAAGGGTGCTATAGATTACAGGTGTCTTCTTATGTGGTCTGAACGAGGAAATCTCTCACCTACAGTCTTGTTCTCTTTTGTACTGAAACTGAGAAAAGTTATTGATAGAATCTTTTCAAGGCGGTGCTTTAAAACTGAACCTCTATCATATATATATATATATTTTTTTTTTTTAACAAAACCACAGAGTGATGTTGATTTCCACATTTTGGAAAACGCTGCAACTCCACTGTAGGTCACATTAGCAATAACAAAAAGCAGTTATTACATATGGCACTTTAAATAACAGTGTAGATGGAGTGCAAGTCCTCTGGTAATCACCGTGTGTCACTGAAATGAGCAAGTCTTGTTCTTGGACAGTGAAGCATTGTAGTTTAGTTTTTTGTTTGTTTGTTTGTTTTGTTTTTGGTATTTGTATATATTTATGGCCTGCTTTGCCTCAATGGGGACCAATGGGCAAACATGAGCTGTTCTGACTTTTTGTTAACTATGGTGCACAGTATTGATACCAGCTTCACAATATTTTGCTCACAGTTCCTGGGAACTGTTAGCAGTTTAATACTGGAATGCTACCTGCTGCCAGGCTTTCTGAATGTTGTGGTACACAGCTGTGTTGGGGGAAATTTACAAAGTTAGCAATATATATTGAAATAGTTCATATTACATAATATTACAGCAATATAATTAGACACAGGGTTTGTCTGCAATACAACACCACTGGATTGCATAAGAATGCATTACACTTTACTGTTGCAAATTCCCATACAATTATTGGGGAGTTAGTTTACCAAAGTGAAAATGGGGCCTTCCTGGTGCAGTTGTTGACTCTGTACAGCCTGTAAACCGTTGCTGTGTATATTTCATACCTGTACATGCCTGCGTGGAAATGTATAGACTCACTGTATAGTTATTTGCAACACTTACATATTCCCTCCTGCATCATGAGTATCACACTACACTTGCACTCATGTGCAGCAAACTACCAGGCCACTGTTACTGGATATATTTAGAGTTAGAACCTGATCTTACTTTCTAGTTTCTAGTTAAGATGTTTGCCATCTGTATTTTTAGTATTTCTCCCTCTATGGTTATTTGATTGCCCTTATATTGTTTGTTTTGTCTCAGTTGCTGTTAACCTGCAATTCCCGGTTGAGTTTTCTAAAATCTAATCTACCCATCCTTCCATCCATCCACCCAATGCATGTGTAGAGACCCATCTACATAATTAGCTACTTCCTGGAGTTTGGTAACACGTGACTCTGTAGGAGGGAGTCTGCCTTTGCACTTGTGTCCCTCCCATGGATGCATTAAGGAGACGCTGCAGCCAATCATTGCACAGAACCGACATTACAAATCCCCAAAAGGTGGAACTTCCAAAATAAACCATCGCCCACGACAGGCGGAGCTGCAACACCAGCCCGGGATTCCTCCTTCCAGCCCAGGCAGAGGATTCAGCAGCGACCGTAGGCTGCAGCACACACACGAACACACACAGTGCTCCACTATCCCGCCTGCTTTTCCCCACATAACTGCATGCATCTTCACCAAAGCCGCGTCGCACACCGAAACCAGACCTCCGAGCTGGTCCACAATAAAAGAGTATTTCTAAAGTGATTTTTTTTTTCTCCAAGTTTCGTGCAAAAGCATGCAGCACAACGCACTGCGGGCTATGGAAACACCCCCAACACCGAGGCACACGGCGGCCAGGAGGATCAGGCAGCTCCTGCGCGGTGCGTCGGTCGACGCTGGCTGCGCTCTCCAAACAAAAGGCACTAAAACGCATCATCCGCTCACTGACGCTTTACTTGAGCACCGGCGGACGCGGGGAAGCGGGGCCTAGGCGGCGAACACGGCATCTTTTCTGGGCGGCAAGAGCCGATCCGGTTGCCCTTACTAAACAATGCCAAAGTCAAACGAAACGGGAACTACGGCGTCGCTGTGTGGAAACATCGGCGCGTCGGAGCCACGCCATTCTCCGCCTTCCACCCCCCGAAAAACACGCAGCCCCATTTTTTTCCCTCCTGCACAGAGGACGACCGCGCTTTTAACAAATCATATTCTTTGTTTACTTCAATAGTCGGGAGTAAAATGTCTAACCTGTCTCACCACAACAACTCCCTCCCCCCCAGTCCACCGATCCATTTGCAAACAAGCGTTACATGCTCGCACAACGCTGCAGCGCAAATGTTTGGGCTGGCAGACAGCGGGATGCCTCGGATGATCCCCTCACAGCCCGGGGAGACTGTTTACCAGCCGACATAATGACGTGCTGCGGATCCTGCCATCTACCACGTTATGTTTGTGGCTATTTAGCCGCCGTTTACGAGCACAAAAAGCCCCCGTCGCTTCATTTAAGGTCACAAAAGGCGCCACTGACAACAAAGCGCGTCCCTGATCTTCACAATCAGCCTTCTGCTATTCTGACAGCGATTCTCTTAATATAATTTAGTTTAAGCAGCTGTTACATACCCAGGAAAAAGACTCCTTACTCCGGATTCGTGTTTGTAACAAAATAGTTGGAGACGCCCCCCTCCGCTGGCATTGGCGCACACTCAGCTGCGCGTCACTTTATTTTGAATACGACCCGCTAAAACCGAGGCAGCGCCACAGCAGCAGCCCGTTCGCTCCAGCTCCAACCTCAGGCCCTGGCTGCCTCCAGAGCCCACTGCTTCACCCTGGATGACACTGCTGGTGCCGGAGGAGGAAAGAAATCCCACCTGAGTACTTCCACTCAACTACTTATGTACATTTTACTACATTTAACATTCAAATCCTGTACTTTTTGCTGCACTTCTCATATTAGACACTATTTACTGTTTAGATTGAGACTACACCTGCAAAATATGAGATTAGAAAACCATATATTTTCTGAAACTAGTTTAAGTTAGTCAAACCTCAATTATAAAAAGCATCACAATCATATTAATACTCTATTATGTGTATGAAACAGCTTCCTGAAGTAATTTGAGCACTTTTACAATTTGATTCTTCACATCAGGCTGCAACTGCTGATTTTATTTTATTTTTTAACTATGCAGCCTAGTAATCTAATACTTGACCTAATCAATTATAGCTGACTGGTGTATAGCATGATAGAAAATGCTTTGATAATATCTCTATTTATTTAAAACTGTACAAAATGCAGTTCCAATGTGCTTTACAATCCAAATTAAAATTGAAAATTCATAAGATGCAAAGCATAAATACCACAAGATACTGTGAGCCTTAAAAAAAGATTCTAAAGGAGATACTGAATTACCTGCCAGAGATCCCCATGTAGGGAGTTCTACAGCAAAGGCCTGGTCTACTGTAGTGGCAGGTCAAAATTTTTTAAAATAGTGCAACCAAGGAAATCATTTCCACTATTTGAGGAAAATGGCTCAAAATTCAAATAGGTTCAGTTCACGCTCATAAAAAGCTGTCAATCTTTGCATCTGTAAGGTGGGAAGCAGCACAGTTTGGCTTTTTTTAAAACCGCTATCAACATTTTTGCTGATTTTTCTGACGACTGACTCAATTGCCAATAGGCAATGCAAAATTTTGAGTTGCTATGAAAGAACAAATGAGAAAACTATTAATGATGAGCAACTCCCAAGACAATTTTGCAGACTAAGTAATCATTAGTTATTAAAGAAATGAGATGAAATGAAAGACGTGATAGTTGATGAATCATTAACAAGTACCTCCCTAATGATTCCTAATGTAGGATTAACCTTAGTAACTGTATTTATTCCTGTATCATCAGAATCTGCACAGTTTGCACCAGACTTTTGGTTCACGTTCAAACATGCTCTTATAAACACATTCATAGCTGTACATGGTAATAAAATACTCATTCTCCTTTCTTTAACCTGTTGCTCTTGTGTTTTTGTGTAAGAACTTTGAGAGCAAAGATAAAGCTCGACTCAGATCCTTGCATGTGTGTAGACATACTTGTCTGATGAGGCTGATTGTGCCACATCGTAGACAGTGATGAGTAACTATAGAACAAACTGGAGGATCCTGTAGTAATGAGTCATTAGGTAATGAGCAGTTCATGGATATCTGAATCACATGGGCCTCTTTCTTCACGACTGGTTCCTGATCAACTTCAAACCAGCTCTAACTTCTAAATATATTTTTGCTGAGCTCCTTATATTGTAGCTCGTAATTAAAAAAAAAAAAGAAAAAACAAAAAACATTCATACTTTTACCACAGTGAAGGACCCGAGTATCTCTTCCACGTGCCTCTCAGCTTAAAAAAAAATGGACAAATGTCTGTATATTGATTGCATTTGTCACATTAATTAACTTTTACTGCAGCACTGCCTTTACGTTTGCTGTAATTATTGCCAACAAAGCCACAGGGAGAAATACTTGAGACCCAGTATTGGTATTTTCATCTAAAAATAATTGTTTTGGAATTGTTCTTACAGTTTACTTACTTATTCTCTTTTCCGTGTGCAGCACCTTGCAGGAGATTTTATTATGATTAATTTAATATTGTAGTGTTGCATTATTAATTCTAATGTAACTATATCCTCTGTCTTATTTATTGTTATAAATATTAAATGGCTTATTATCAGATTTTGGTTTAGCACAAGCAATCTTGTAGCTTTTGTCTAACAAAAGTGATTTTTCTCCAGTTCTGGATGACTAATGGTGTATTTAAAATACGAACGACAGCTTTCAAAAACATTCTTTTCTTTCTACCAAAAGGGACTCTTTCTTGGTGTGAACTGCTACTAAACTCGCTTGTAATGTGGCACATACACTAAATAACACAAATGAGATGTTTAATTAAATAGTATATGACCAGGAAAACTTTCCTGTTAAACCTTTTACTTCCAAGGCCGTTTCTATGGTAACATGATGGTGAAATGACCCTTTTTCCTAACCAACTGTCGTTTTGATTGACTTAAATGATGAAAAATGCAAACACAATTAGAGTCCTTGAAATTCCTTAAAAAATGAAATCATGAACAGAACGTGATTTTTGGCGGCTTTTCATCCAAGATCACGAATACTGAAGTGACTCACCGGTTTGTGTCTCTCCAAGTAGAAAGTTATCACTCCGATGGACTTTTCCTACAGGTTTGTTGAGCGTCACAGTAAATATAATAAATTAAAATAAATCTCAGTCAGAGAGATCGATTCCTTCAGATTTACTCCACGTACTCAGTCCTGGAACGATGCAGTCACGGACTGAGTTGTAGCACCAAAATAGCATAGAATTCTTGTTTCAGTGTTTGTTTTACTGGTTGCAGCATCTTTGTTTCATGTGGCAAAGTGGATGATTAAAGGTCTTGGGTCTGAACTGAGTCTTGCATGTTATTGTTTTGTCTGTCTCCATGTCATCAGGTGTAGGATTTTAGAGGCTGTGATGCAGTGACACGTGTAACGGTGTTAATCTGGTTTATAAGCAGGTTGAGAAACATAAAAGCTGGGATAGGGATCCTTAAAGTGAGCTCCATTGACAAAACATGGGACACTCTCGAATAACTGTGATGATGGATAGCAGCGTCTGCTTTGGGGTTATTATCAGATAAAACAATAAACGAGTTTCAAAGTCACTGTGAATCAGCACTTAGTAGCCAAAAAAGCACTTTGTCAGCTGCACGGTAAAGTGACATGAATATTAAATGGAAAGAATATGCATACGCTGAATCTTGCTCTCTGTATAAGTCTGACAGCTGCAATACAACAAGCAACAATCTGCCATCATACCACACCCCAAAATAAGCATTGTTGAGAAAGAAATACCCACATGCTGCTGAACTCCTGCTGCAGGGTTTCAACATGCAGGGAGCACACATCACTTTGTGGGTATTCCCTTTCCAGTGTGGGTGCAGCTCACTTTGACGTGGTGGTAAAGTCTACAGTCGACCCAGATTCACCATTTGTCTGCAGCAGTTTAGAAGTTCAGCCACCAGCACTGGTGTATTTTAAGAGAAAAGTGGCGTTGTTAGACCTTGAGCTGTCCGCTGAAATGACGGGTAGTCATTACCTCGCCTTGTAATGAGAGGCAAATTTAGGTTGGATTCACTCTAGGATGATTAGATGGCTTGAAATCAATAATTTCATGTGTATATTACTGCTGGATCAATGCTTGATTTTGGGCCAAAATCAATAACTATTTCAAAGTAAGGAAACTGATAGCATGACAGCCATTTTCTTGTACATATAAACCTTTAAGTGTCTCTTAAATTTGTCTGTCAAATGCATTGTGACCAAGATCTAAATGATATTCCCTCCTTAAATTTTCATATATGTTCAGTTGGGTTGAGATTTGTTACATTTAATTTACATAATTTTTGTGACTCATTTATTTAGTGATATAACAGTCGTATGCTCCCCGATGAGGAATTCAAGCTGACCTGCAAAACTGTTTTCTGTTCTTTGTGCTTGAACGTTTCTGTAAAATGTGCATTAATTGATTTAAAAAAAATGTTTTGGTTGGTTGCCTAGGAGCAGCAGAACAAGTTGTAAGTTACTACGTGAACCCTGATCGAACTTGATACTTGACTATTTGCACCATAAGCAGACACACTCACTTTCATTTGTGATTGTGTTTCAAGACACACAATAATTTAAAAACAGAATTCACGAATTTTGTCCTGTTTTGGTCTCCACCAACTCTTGAGGGAAATATCAGACTACGTAGTGGCCTAAAAGTCTCTCTCTGGTCATTGATTAAATCCCTAGAGACATATCTGTGCATCAGAGTTGCATATTTTCCATTAAAATGATCCCTTCTTGCTTAATAAAATGGTTTCGATGTAACTCAAAACTGTTGCTTCCGTTTGCATGTGCTCTTAACTTTGTGCAGCCACCCCTCCCATAGTTGCTGCAGCTCAAGCACACCAGCTCCTCCAGGGCTCTGCTCAAACACTGGAACACTACTTAATGCTACACAATGGCATTTTGTAATATTAGAGTAATTGCATAATAGTGTCCCCCCATCCCATTCAATCATCTATACACCACTTAATCCTCACTAGGGTCGCAGGGGGGCTGGAGTCTATCCCGACTTAGGACGAAGGCAGGGGACACCCTGGACAGGTCGCCAGTCTATCACAGGGCTACACTTAGAGACAGACTACCAAGCACACTCACATTCACACCTAAGGACAATTTAGAATCACCAATTAACCTCAACATGCTTTTGGACTGTGTGGGAGGAAGCCGGAGAACCTGGAGAGAACCCACGCTGCACGGGGAGAACATGCATCCACGCAGAAAGATCCCGGTGCCCCCACGAACCGGTGACGCATCATAGTGTCGGAACTGAAAATCTGATTCTGAGAAAGTGTAATTTTGCAGAAAGCCTCACCCTGCAAAGTGACAGGATTGTTTTTTTTGTTTGTGATGTATGAAACCCTGGAAGTCTGAATCTGTGTTTGTGAGGTGACCATATATACGATGCAGTTTCATGCATATATATGTGTAAATGCTCAGCTATGACACTGATATGTTTACTTCCCTCATGATATGTGTCTCAGCATATAAAAAATACACCATATGAACATGTAAACAAGGTAAAAAAAAAACTAGATTTTCACCAGAGGGGTCTTTAACTTTATCCGTTCACTGTTTAATGCTGGCCATATAATATGGAGTGGGTTTAATAGAGCAGCTGCCTTCTGTGATTTGAAATGAGGCTGAGAGCAGTGAGAGACCCAAAATAGTAAAGCAGCAGACCGTAAAACTAAAACAACCAAGTGAAAGATGCTATGTTAGGCTGAGCAGGGCTGCAGAGTCCGGTCACATGTGGGTTCATCAAGTCTGTCACAGTCAGTTGACCTATTCCTAACATACAAACACTGATTACTGCAGCTATTATGTTATTTAATGAACTCGATGATAGTGTTTTATTGGCATTCGATTTATTTTTGTCTTATTCATAATATACAATTATTATTGTCAATTACTCTGTTGATCGTTTTTGTTTTTTGGTCTGTAAAGTGTCAGAAAATGGTGAAAAATGTCAATCAGTGTTTCACATAACCCAAGATGACTTCTGAAACCCAACAACATTCAGTTTACTGTCATAGAGGAGGAAATAAATCAGAAAATATAAAATTTAAAGAGCTAAAATCTCAGAATTTTTACAATATATTTATTAATTACTCAAATTAATTAGATTAATCTATCATCAGTATAGTTGATGATTCATTTAATAGTCAGCAACGAATCGATTTATCACTGCAGCTTTAGCTTGTGTAATTGATATTTTAAAATGTCTGTTCTTAAGTTTACCTTTTTCATGCATTGCTGTTTTATACTGCTTGTAGAGAAGTTTGAATGGTGTACAAGACTGTGAATCTGTCAACAACCTCTTGGTTGCAAAATGAGGAACACAACACAGTTCTACTCAGTCACCTCACAATCCCAAGAAACACACGACCTGTACAAATGTACACGTTGACGCAGTTTGTATTTAATACAGTATAGCTTGAATCAATAGTTATATGAATGATAAAGTAATAGGTTATAACAGAACAAATATAAAATTAATGTAGATAACTGTATAATCCTGGGTAATCGTATGAAAACAGTTGTTGAATATAATAGAAAAATAAAATAGAGCACATCTTGCGTCCATCATTGAAAGGAAAAATAATTCTAAAATCAGAGTACATGAATACGGCAGACTTTTAAAAAAAATGCTTCACTACAAGCAAATTCAATATGAATTCTGTAGCAAAGAACACATTTTTTTTTCTTTTTTTTTCACCCGGCAGCAACATATGACACACAGACACAGTTTTTGTACATGTACTCTATAATAATGGCAAGATACTGGGAGCAGATGAAAGCACTGATTACAACCACAGTCTGTAGAACGGAAACACAATAATAATGAAAATATACTTCGATTTCTGACTCTCAAGTGCACAGGAGGAACTTTATAGGGTTGGAGGCACAGATTTGTGCTTGTTTATTTAACTATTCTATCATCAATTACTGGTTTCCCTGTAAAATCCTCTTGATTTGTCCCAATAAAGCTCTATGCAGATGTTTACAGTAAATGTCACTAAATGTCTTATATTTAAGCATCACTAAATTTACAATAACAATCAAGTTCTCCCAGCATCACATGTAGACCTACAGAATTACTATTAGGTTTTATTTGTCCTCCCATCCTATCGCCTCAATGACTAATCTCAGAGCACATCGGGAATAGTTGTTTCAAAGTGCTAAGACGTGATCTGTGTAAAAACAAAACAAAAAAAAAAGTATTGCACTACTCATGAGGTCTTAAGTGATGACTTCAACAGATGCATGCTTCAGTGGCACAGTCACTGCAGCATGGACCGCTCTGAACAAGTGTGCGTGGGGAGTTTAGCAATACAGTCCCACTATCACTAAAGCATGGTGGCACAGCTCACAGCGAGCAAAGGCGGCTATAGAAGCTCAATATTCAGGTGAGATGGACAGTCCTCGGTTTTAGTAGACTCGTTTGGGAAAACAAAATAAAAAAAACAAAAAACCTTTAAGAGGAACTCACATGGACAGGAATTTAATGAGTGATCACAGAACACGGCTGACAGGCTGAGAATGGTGATGTGCTTTAGGCAGACGAGGATGCATCGTGCAACCTCGAAGGAATACAACAACTTCTTGGCAAAAATACTTTCCCACTAAGTTGGCTTTTGGGCAACACATTGTGGTTTTACCTCCTCGTGTTCAGTTTGACACTCTTGAGACTATACAAAACTAGCTCGTACCATCTACGGGACGTTTAGACATGAGCTAAAAATGCACTGTGGTGAATGCAGTATTTACTGGACACAGGAGGTGCAAAGTTACCCCATTATTGTTCCCCGAGAGTGGAGATCAGGCTTCTTATTTGGAACAGAAAAAAGTTTAGAGGAATGTTTCGCCACAGAAAGGAAACCCAGTTGATATCTTGTTGTATCTCGTTGTGAGAAATGAATAGAATTGGAATTTATTTAGCTGTGAGACACTTGATTTCTCTACAGCAGCAGTTACAGGATTGTGGTGGCCATATTAATTTTATCAGTCAAGGGATATACTAGCTGCAGACAAACTTGTTTTTGGGGTGAACTACTCCTTTAAGGTCCCTGAACCACCAGCGACAAATAAATAAATGAAAAGTTAACCGACATGACTTCACCCTACCCAATGTGCCTGACCACGCACAACAAAACCGCACGACACCAGAGCAGTTTGTTCACTCTACCACATTTTTGGAGATATGTTCATCAAAAACAAAACGTCACATTGTTGGCAGCCTGAATGTTATCACATTAAAACACAATGTTGAAAATCAAGCCTTTTAATGTCACTGTCTTGGTCTGCCAGTAAAGAACAGGTCTAATTTCAAAAGACAGCTTCTGTGAGGAAGTTACTTTCCTGGACTAATTGGTCACACAACATGGGCTTGGGGTTTAACAGACTGACTGCCGGAATCACAGGGCTCATGGAGATTGGTTTGGGAAGTTGAGGCCGAGGCTCACTGATTGGCTGGGAGCAGGCCCTGTCTTTGAGCATGCTCCAAAATGGCATTGTAGCAGAAGTAGTACTGGTCTGGGGTTTGAATGCTGAAGGCCCTCTGTGTTCTCATGCGCCGCACCGTCTGACACACATTCAGCGAGCCTACGTCCTGTAGCTGGGACAGACAGATGTCCAGGGCACAGAAGGTACCTGTCAACAACAGAGCTTGTTAGTTGAGACATCTGCGTCCTCTCTGTGAACCACACTGAAGAACTTATAACAATGGGCAGGTGTGTTTAGCAAAATAACTCTTTGAAGACGATTGGAGGAATGCAAATAGTCCGACGTCAAGGTTTTGGAGAAATACAATCTCTGGATCTCACCTGTTCTCCCAATCCCTGCACTGCAGTGGACCACCATCGGAGGTCCCAGTGGGTGGCCTGTCCACTGAAGTCCCAAAGCCTTCACCATCTTTCTCTGTTGTCTCTTCACAGCTCCCAGGAAGTCGATGAGAGTCACTGCTGAGGTGGGAACGCCGTAGTCAGGCCAGCTGAGGTACTGGAAGTGACTCACTTGTCTCTGTTCACATGTCTGAATGAGTGAAAAAAGAAACAAAAAAATGACAGTTACATGCCTGTTACATGCGATCTGATTTAACGCAAAGGTCAGATGGCTCATTAAGGGAAAACAGTAACATTGCTTTCTTGCTGAGAGCGAGATGAATGGACTGATAATACTTTTAGCTCTGTAACATAGATATGAAGCTGGAGTTAGACCATGTTAATATCTTAATAATACAAATGATAGTATTTTGAAACTATGTTGTTTTATCTCAGACATTAAAACAACATACAGAAAAGATGTTTACAGACTGTCTTTACCTCCCTACACTTGTATTTTGACTGTAATTCATTTGACATAAACTCAACAAAGTGAAAGATTATTTTGGCTGGTCTTCTTCTTCTTTCTTCTTTCCTCTTTTTCCTTCTTCCCCTTCTTTGATATCGTGATAATATTGTGAATTTCTTTTGGCCACAGTAAATGTGTAGTGAAAGCCCTGTATCGTGGCTGCTCTAGCCAGAGCCATCCAAGTTTCTTAGCTTAGCATCACAAAAGTTGGAGGCTAGGAGACTTGGCTAACTCTACCAGAGCCTACTCAACACATGGCCTTTGTTTAATCTGTACACGGATAGAAATGTATAAGTTATGGTTTTACAGATAAATATGTGCTGGAACTATTTTTTGGTCAGAAGCAACAACTAAGTGGAGCCTGCTCTACTTGCGTCATAACCTCATGGTGATGACGAGATCCAATAAAGTCACCAACCAAAGACAAATGGAGGAAAATAGGTCTCACTTTATCAATTAGGTTGATGGAACTTTGTGAAATGCTCGTCTGTACCTCAGTGTTGTGCAGTTCCAGGGTGGTGTGGTTGTAGTGGGTGTGGTGGTCCACCCTTTGGTTCACCACTGCCATGTGACCGTAGACCTCCTGGCCACCTTCGTCCAGAGGCCAGTACTGACCACACTTCCTCCGACTGCCCTCGTCTGTCCTGCCGCACAGATACAGGATGAAGTCAATGAATTTAATTTTATCAAACAAAAGGAGAAACTGAATCCTTTTTTAAAAAAATTATCGGCTCAAATTACCTGGTCGTCATGACGATAACGAGGACGTTTTGTTCCCAGACCATTCTCCAGAAATCACCGTAGGTCCTTTCCAGTGGTCCTACACAGAACAGCAGGAAATTGAAAGGAAATTAAAATGACTTAAAAACGTTCAGTCACTGAGACATGTAATGACAATATCTATTTGACTCCTCATGAGCTACATCAACCACCAGTACTCTGCTCGTTATTTACTGCTGACACATATTTTTTTATTTCAAAATTAGGCATCTCGTTATTTCATCATTCTTTAACGTGCACTTCCGACATCAACTTAAGACAAATCCTTAACAAATTAGGATTTACAAAACTAACATCCTGCCAATTTAACCTACTTACTGGCAAATTTACTGAACTGCAGTGAAACCTTTACTTAGAAAGCTAACCCGAATGCTGATGTTCAACAATTTTAACACGGCAATTTGTACGTTTTACCTAGCAAGAACTGGAGACGCTGGCAACTATTCACAGCAGTAACCATTAGTGTCGTTTGGGACTGTTTGCAACATTCATGGACTTGGACAGGGCTGTAAATAATCTAAATACAAACAGTTCATTGGTAAAAATGAATCAGTATCACGATTATCTAGGAAAGCTTTTATATAAATATTTTAATAGTTTATTTAAATGTAATAAACTCATACACCACACAGTGTTGTGGTCATGTTGTCTGTAGAACAAAGCACACCATGTTTCAGACACCATCATTTGTGATTGCACAAAGTTCAGTGTCTGGTCTGTTGCTGTTGTCTATTTATATGCTACATCTTGGCTGAATGTGCCACTGTTATGATATAGTTGTATTCACAGTTATCCTCGGGGCATCTAAGTCTACATTTCTATTTGGTCTAATGACCAGAGTGAACGGAAATGCTGAGCCCATGGGTTCGGAGGACCAGACCAAACTTAATGGTGCCTTATAGTTACACAGTATGTATTTGACTGCAAGTTTATGTCACTGTGCATGAATTATTAGAAAATAATCTCTTTAAGCGTTCATGCAATTTCCGGGGCATTAATTTAAATTATACACCAGTTGTCATACCTTGAGTACCAATGTATGCATTCTTCTGTTTGTAGCCGTCCATGAAGCTTGCGTTGATGTAGTCTGATCTCTGAAAGAGACAACAAAGCTCTGTCATAAAGGTGGAGGAGAAGCCTTACAAAAGCTGAAGTACATCAAGTTCAAGAAAAATGAAGGAATGTACGCTATGACCTGAACAAGACTAGAAATCATTTGTTTACATGGGCTGATGGAGCATTAATTGACTTCATCAGAATAAACAAAACAGAATCAAAGTACTTTGGTTACGCTGACGCTGGATGACGACCAGGCAGCGTGGCAGCCTTTCAGAATTTTGAAGCTTGGCATATTTCTTGGCAGCTGAGAGGTGCCATGAATGAATCTGGCAGTGTTTTTCTTCTGATGTCAGTGACACCTGTTATATGCATATTTTAAAAAGCAGTTACCTCGTTCCTTCTGGGTTTCAAGCGAACTCTTGTTTGATCAAGGCACAGCACATCTCCATAGCGATTCCTCTCCTGATTGTAGGCTGCTCTGTAGACAAATTAACACCAAAGGTTACTACTGGAGCTTATTGCAATGGCAATCTACAAAGATTAAACTGAAAACCCAAAGTATAAGGTTTTTAGTTAGCATATCTACCAGTAAAATAGCAGCTCTGATCTGTTGAGGTACATATGTTTCAAACAAAGGATTTATGAAGAAATCTCATTTTGAGCTACAATGAATGGGGAGAGAGACATAACTGCAATTCCAATGCTGGAGCTTCAACATCATCGATTAAATATCTTATTTAAATGATATAACATGCAAAACAAAAACATAGAACTCCAAATGTCAGCCCTGAAGTCTGGCAGATATAGTCGCCACAGCGGATACATCTATACAAACTATCTGTACAAAGCCAAACATTCAGTTTTCACAGAGTTGATCATTTTCACCTTTTGTTGACACGGTCAGAAATGTGTAAATTCTATAAAATGTTTACTGCTGAGCTCTTAGTTGAGGGAAGTGTTGATGTGGGCAATATTACACTGGGAGGTTTCTAATTTTCCTATTCACATACATGAGGGCAGCAGAATAAACATTGCACATGCTGCATAAAAAGATTATAGGCATCATAAAAGCAGACTTTATGGCTGCACAGTTCTGTTGGACTGTATTAGATCATACAAGTGAACACTGAGTGTGTGTCTGTAAACTCACTGTGCACAGTGGAAGGTTCCAGGCGGTATTTCTTTGCGCAGCTCCTCATACTCCTGATGGATGCCTGAGCGCTGTAGCCTGCCGAGGTGTGTCAGCAGCTCCTGCGGGCGCATGGACTCAGGCCCAGGGACGTGAATGGAAGTATCCTCCAAGGGGATTCCCACCAACTCATCCACAGGGTCTACTCTGCCATTCTGGCCCGCCAGCAGCTGCTGGTTCCAGCTGTAAGCGTCCAGAGGCAGCAGGCCACCAAGGTGTTGTGGGAGACAGTCTCTGGGGAGGTGCTGGCGCAGCTCTGCCATTTTTACCATCTGAACCTGGAGGTAGAAGAGACAGGGATCGACTGGGCTCAGTACAGACAGATTTAACCCTTGAGACTACGCTTGACGTGAAGATATTAAAACAAGCAGATTTTCATAAGCTGATTTAAAAAAAAAAAAAAAAAAAGTATGTTTTTACCATAAAAAGTAAACCTTTAGTGTTTATTCCTTAGTCTAAATTACACAAATAATCTCGAGGACCATCAGGTGGTGCAGTCTCTACAGAAATCCATACTAATAAAATTCTTCAAGGGCAGTAATGTGGCAGGCTGATCGACTCCTGTGATTCATGCATTAACATCCCAGACATGCGTGAGGCAGCCGGATGGATAAGTGGTTACAGACCATCCCCTAATCAAATGATCACTTGCGACAGTCAGAGACACTGAATCACCACCTCACTTAGTATTTGCCATTCCAGGAACACTAAAAAGCACTTCTGTTAATGACGTATCAACGTAAACCTGGAGCTGAAGAGTGAATGTGAGACGTAGTAGAAAATGAGCATTTACCCTCTCCCTAAGTTTCTCCTTGAGCAGCAAGCTGAGCAGATTGTAGGGCACTCGAAACCAAACCGGGGCCCCGACGATCAACACCTTCTTCAGCCTGGCAGGGAACGCCCCCTGGTGGAGAGAGACGGTACAACTTATAGTAAACTATTCATTCTTTGTTTAAAATGCATACTGTAGAAATGTAGGTGCACATTCTTTGTATTTAAAATTAAGAAAGAAGCATTTTAAGCAAAACACAACACAGACAGTGTCTCAGAAGCTTACTTTATGCCAGTTTATGAAAACAATAGTGGCAAACTTAACATAATTCTGCTGTCCAGATACCGTGGTGCTTTCTGCATTTATGTATTAACTGATGATGGTGAGAACAACTTGACTGCTTTTAGATCAACATGTGGGCACAGAATACATGCCACTTACATACAGTTAGTGTCTGTTATCGGCAGACATACTGCTGCATTCCTAAAGCATAACTCACATAAATGTAGCAGACATGCAGGGAACTGCCAGATATAAGCACCAGTCTGAGCATTACACAGCTGTGGAGTATGGATTAAATAATTCTTCAGCTTGTCAACCCATTTTATAAGCCATTCATTATGCCCTTTGGACAGGTACTTAAATCTTGGAAAGACATCAACTTCACTTGAATCAAACGACTTCTTTACAAGATGAAGGACATGGCTCAGCTGTTAAGCATTAACCTGGCCCTGAAAAGGAGTGAATCATCTTAAACAGAGACAGCAAATTCATCTGACTTCCCTTCAGGATATATAGGAGTGTTTCCACTAAGTTTGAGTCTAATGCTGTGAATCATGTGTCTCATTTTCTGAGGTGCTTGCCATTGTTCGGCTTTTCCTGTACACGATCATTTACTGCGCACATTTAAAATACAGCTCTGTAATTTCAACCTTTAGCAAGTTGAGGATCTTCTTGCTCAGGTCCAGCTCAAAGTTTGTGTAGTTGGAGCCCGCCATGTCGTAGATGAACACCAAGCCATTCCTCTGGGTCTCAAAACTGTGGAACGAACAGGAAATTGTGTCAAGAAAGAACTAACTTGTGCAAACAAGTGCACTTTTTTTCTAACACATCAGAGACAGCAATACCTCAAACTGCAGATTTTAAGTACACTACAGTTGCCACTAAAAACAGGGCAAGCTGTCTTTGAATGGATAAATTTGGCATTACATTTATAGGATTCCCTCAAGGAAAACTAAACTACATAGGAATAAAGTGGGTGATTTATTTGGTAAGGTTTCTAGTTGAGGTTAAATACTGCGCCAGATTCCAGTGCTAAAGTACACAATATTTTTCTAGGGGTGAAGAAAAAAAAAAAAAAAAAGACACCAAAATGTAAATGTTTTACTGGCTTACCTTTCCACGGCCCGATCCAGGAGGTAGAAGAGGGCCTGAAGCACCACATGGTTGCCCGTCTTGTTGGGGTGATGAAGTTTGGCCGTGTACAAGGCAATGGAGGCCCCTGAAGGGTCTCGTACACTCTGAAAACCCACAATAATAACAGGTTATATTAAGCCTAAAGGCACAGGTTAATCACCACTTTCTGTTAGCGTTTTCTTTCCTGTACTGAACTGGGAAATGTATATTAGTGCTGGGTTCATTCCTGGATTTATAAGTAAGATGAGCAAAATGAGCTCCTAACTTTAAAGTGAGAACAGTAAATTATGTATTTTCATATTTTCTGCCATTTAAATGCCGATATTCTTATTTCTCAGATGTATTAATAATAATGTGTAAATGACTTATTCATAGGAATATGTGGTACTTGAAGGAATTTCCTGGTTTTCAGTGCGACACCCAAATGGAAGCGCAACAGAAGTGAAGAATGAACAGTGACCACAGGGGGGCACTTGAGTTCATCTGCTAGTTGCTGGCAGGCAGCCAACTCAAAAAGGGCTGTCAGCATTTCAGCAGGAGGAACAATTGTTGTCAATAATGATGCTGCAGCTCTTGGAGCTCTAACCCCCCCCCCCCCACACACGCCTTTTCTTCCTAAAAGAGACACAGAGTGCTTTTTTTCATGTCAAAGCTGAGCAGCGTTGAGACTGCGGGTGTCATGAGAGTCTCTTGACTTGAATGAAGCCGCTGACCAGAGATACTCCGGAACTGTCCTTTTGTAAGTAAATAAGCCTGTATTCTCTGGCATGAGGGCTAAAAATACATCAGACAGGATATGAATGAAGCCCGCTGCTGAGGCTGGAGAACTCCGACGTCAGACGAGAGGATGTGCAGCATCAATGCCACTGTGGCACGTCAGCGAGGAAGGAAGACGGGAAACGCAGGAAAGTGGGAGTGTGCGCTGTGTGCTGGAAGGTGGCATCTTTTATGGCTGCGATTTGGCTGACAAAAGGCTAAATTTATCTGGCACAGGAAACCCACTTGGAACATCAATCAATCGATAACCTGCACCCCGAAAGGGCTTTTAATGTATCATTAGCAGAGCTTGCTTTCAGAATGTTTGCCTTAACCCTTCTTTTCAATAAAACATAATCTCATTATCAGTTGCAGTCATTAAGTAAATGATTTATCTGACAGTCCAAAAAGCAAACCCACTGAGTGTTTAGTTACCTCTGTCACAGCCTGTGTAATTCTATTCTGAACGGAAGCATGTTTAGTTTTTTGAACCATTAGCTGCACAGACAACAGAAGCTACACACAAACACAGATAAACAACAGCGGAGGTGCTCCATAAAGACGTTATTTGATGTCACAGATAAGGAGGTGCTTGTTCTATTTTTTTTGTCCACAACTCTGCGACAAAACCAACAATGTCTGTCGCCGTATTTTGTGACTTCCCCACTACACCTGTGACACTGTAACCCAGGTCCTCTGGTTTCTACTGAGTAATTTCCTACATTTACTCAAACAGGAGTAAATGTAGAGAATTCAGTGTGGACTATTTTCAGCAGTAGATTAAAACACATTTTGTTCTTTAGTGATTATATGATGCTAAATGTCCATCATAATAAAGAAACATGCCACCCAGAGCAATGATGAGTCTCACTGACATGTTTTAATAGTTTCTGGACAACAACTAGTATTGTTGGCACAGAGGAAGAAGATATATCAGGCTTTGGACACAGAGACAATACTTAAGATGGGATTAATTCAGGTTTGGCTTTAGGTTTGTTTATAATAAGGAAATTGTGGAATATCATCCATCTTATCCTTTAATTGTTGTGTAAGATGAGGCTGGACTTTTCCCATTTAAGGAATGCTAGATGCAGGAGATTTAAAGGGCAGTCTTACCAACACAGTGAACTTTCCACTGAGCAGCTCGGAGCGTAGAGGCTCCTCCTGAGGCTGAAGTCTGACAATTCCTTCTTTAAGACGTGTTTCCTGCAGAAAACAGATCACAGCAGGTGAAGTCGGGCTGTGGAGGAACTGCAGCAGGCCGTCACTTTGAGGCGAATTCCTCTCCGTGAACAATAGAGAATCACCTGGCTGACTTTCCTGCCAGGAGAACCCTCTCTGCAAGGTTTCCATTCCTTATTTTTAACCCTGAGAGGCTGTGTGGGAGTTAATAAACTTACTTGTAATGTCAAGCTTGGGAGGCGTCCTTTCAATTTACCGTCGCATCTGCACTATCTACAGGAAGAACAGTCTTGAAGCTCTCACTACACTTTTATTTACACTGATGTAGGAGTATCTGCTTGATGGAAACTACCTCTACTGTCTTATTTTACAGTTACTGCAGCTCTGCTACATCTTTTAAGATTTCTAAAATCAATCACATGTTGTTAATGGGACAAAACTCACAACACAATGTACTGCTGCTTTGTAACTTGATGGACAGCGTATTGAAGGGCTGCCGTGTTTAAATTGATGTAATATCAGAGCTCCACAGATGCAGCCAGTGCCTTATTGTAAGACGTGCTTGTGACAATTTCAAGTCTTAAAAAATGACGGATGACAATAAAACAAAGACAAGTGCTTGGCAATGACACATTAAACGGCCCAAGGAGGGGTGTACAACAACATGATGCAATGCAACAGAGGGTTATGTCTCAAGGCTGGGTGCTGTAGCTTCTTATTCTTGGTTGCCGAGGGACCTGATGGGAATGACAACACAAGTTACCATGCACAGTCACATGTAATGATCCCACGATGTCTGATTAACCAATGACTAAACTATTCAAATCAGTGGGTTTTAGCAGTGCTTCCAGGCAGACAGAGCCAGGTTAGCTGTTTTCAGGTCTCCACTATTCCTTCTAAACTGAGCTGGACAGACATGATGGTGGTTTTAACTCTCTCTCAGCAAAAAGCCAACAAGCATATTTCCCAAAATGCTGAACTATTCCTTTAGGCGTACTACATAAGGTGCATCACATGAACACTGCTGATGACCTTTTGGTTTCCTGTTTGTTTGGGATGCTCTTAAAGTTTCCAGAACCATGATTGAACAACTTTTCAAGGATGGAACTTTGTTGTTTTTGTTGTTTGAATAAACCTACCACCAAAAAAGTGATCCTCAGTTCCCCGTTTACCGTGCTGTTAAGTCCTGTTGAGAGCTTAACATTGTGCTTTTATTTTATTGAATTTTATAAATGTAAATATATGTACAGCTTTGAAAATAATTAATAAGCTACTGTGACTCCAGTTTTCTGACTTTTCTCTCACAGTTCTTTATTGTATATATTGAATTGTTTTTAGGTCTCTTAGAAGATGCTTTGTATGTCAAAATATATTGGCTTCACTAAACCCGCATTGTATTTGTGTGTACTGTAAAGAAATCCAGGTAAACGGGAACGAAGTGGCTCCGACCGATCCACGCATCACTATCCGTCCTGTGTGCTGCACATGTTTGTGCCCCAGAGAGCAGCGAAGAGAGGGTAAGGGGAGATGGAGGGAAAAGGGGGGCAGTGAGAGCAGAATTGCATACTCCACCTTTAATGGATTTATCAAAGTGCTATGAATTATTAAAATTACAATCTCAGTTGAAACTACTCACGCAGCAGTAGATGGTACAACACCAACAACCAGCTCAGCCTGACTGCCAGCCTTTCCCCATTTCTCTGCCCCTCCGACCAAACAAACATGACACTGGAAACTCTCCCCCTTAGTTTGTTCTGACAAATTACTTGTCCCCAGCCTCTGTCCTGGTGCTGAAACAGCATTAAACAGAGTTAAATGAACTGTGGCATGGCAGGGGGAGACTAATCCTTCTCAAAGTCACATTCAAGGCATTCATGAATGAGTCGTGTTTATGCAGGCCAACTATTCACTGCTGAAATAAGAACCTACCTTGATGTTTGAAGTGACTTTACTAAAAAGGTAAGTGGTAAAAATCCTGCCACGTCTCGGAGCTATTCAGGTCATTAGAGTCTGTGCGAGACGTCTGGGAACTTTCCGTTTGCTGGTCGGATAAACTAGAGCAGATCTGAGCAGATAAATCCCATTTTGCATGTTCAAATTTGGACAGAATGAAATTTACAGCAGGATAGACCATTTAGGGACAAAATGAGATTTTTATCTTCGACTCCCTGGTAGTCATTATCAACTGCGAGACCAAGGTCTTGATTATGTTATTATCTCGATGTTATTTTCAGATCATTAACGAGACCTGCAGTCCGATCCACTTCTTCTGCCCTGGAGGTTTCATCTTCATCATCATTTTCCGGTTTGATGGTAATAATATCACCAAGGTCGCTAACTGCTCTCTCAATGATATGTAGTGAACAGACATCTTTTCTCTGTTACGCCAGATTATGTTCTAGCCCTTGAGTCCTTAAACTCCACTTTGCTTATTTTCAGCTGTGGCACACAGGCAGGTGGCCTTTCCATGTCCCTATAGCTGTAGTTATACAGCCAGCTCCTATAGATATAGTCCAGTATATGTTTTAAAGTTGGGCCCATTTCTCTCTGAGCTTCTCCCCAGGGAGGTGGCTAAGAGCACAGCAAACAAACAGGAAGCATAAAAGGAGAAGATCAGCAATGTTCTTTTGAGATGCATAGCGGTTGTCTACCCGCTTCCGAAAAAAAAAAAAAAAAAAGGATCAGAACGCCCCCTGAAAAAAATACCTTCATGTACATTAAAAACCTAATTTAACCCCTTTAATTTGAGGCATCACATATAAGATAACTGCATTATGTTTTATTCTTGTGTTGATATTGTCTAAGCATGTAAACCCAACATGTGAAACTTCATGTTCCTCCTTTAGACCAACTTCACAACCTCAGCTGAAGTGACCACTAATCTTTTCTGAAGACAACATAACACTTATTTTGTGATAAGCTACAAGCTCTCTGAAAGGCTGAGAAAGCCTGCATACTGCTTCTTGAAATATCCCCCTGTGTATACTTGAGTGTGTGAGTCGGTGTGTGGAAGTGTGTGCGTGTCTGGCCCGAGGTTTTTGATGCATCTGTTCAGGCGATCTCTTGCTTGGCTACAGCCTCTGAAGAAATATGTTTTATGAAAAAGGCCTTGTGTTACAGTTCTGTGGGTACGCTGAAAACAGTCCACGCTCATTAACCTGTTTACTTCATCTTCTTTCTTTTTTTTTTTTCGAAAAAGGAAGTTTAACTGATTAGCATTCAGTGCAGAGACACTTTAAGGTGCTGCTAAATTTAATAGATGTGATAAAACTACACTGAAATGTGGCATTGTGTTGTCCCGATTATATTCTTTGTCCTTTAGAACATATAATCAGTCATCTCATCACTTTAGAAAGGTAGAAAACTGCAGCTGTGTGTCAGAGGCCGTGTGTTATACAGATTTTGCAGTCGTGTCATAATTGTCCAATCAACAAGCTAAAAACAAGTTCTGTGGAAATAGAGGCTGCTATACTGAACAACAACCAAGATGAGGTTAGACACACAAGACAGACGTCTCTAATGTGGGTGTAGATTATAGATGAACTGAGTGTTTAGACTGATGAGGTGCATACCTTTCTAAATTTAGGTTACTAAAAACTGGAAACATTTTCACCAGAGATGAGTCAGCTCATCTCAAACTGCTTCTTCTCTAAATCTCATTTGCTTTTTCTGGCTCTGTTATAGCTTTCGAACTGGCCGACAAAGTTGAAAGCGAGCAACGTTGTGATCTGGTTGGCAGTGTCTGACAGAAGCTGTAGCATATGTCATGAACATTGCTGTCATCACTGTCTCCCTTCTGCCACTAACGACCTGAAGCAAAGCTGCCAAACAGACGGGAGCAGCAGAAAAACACCTGTCTGCAGTGGCGGTGCTAATGTATCTCTGCCTGTGGCTGTGTAATGTAAGGTACATAACTTTAGTATGACAATACAGAAATGTTTTTTTCATATAATTATAAATAAGCAGGATGATTTACACACAACAGTCTTCTTCAAATGTATTCATATCCTTCCATTAAAGAAAAGGCAAAATTGACAATAGTCACTGAAATAACTAGAAACTGAAAAAAGTAATCATAAATAAAAATTTGCTGAATCATAATTTAGTGAAATAAGACATTGCTTTTGAATTGTGGTTAAAAAGAACAATTTAAAAAAACAAACAAAACTGTCCTGGACAAATTAGAGCACTTGAGCAGTGGGCCAAAATCTAAATACCTGTCAACAGGAACAGAAGTCTGACTGAGAGTTACAGAAAACACTTGATTGCAGTGATTGGCTCAAAGGGTTGTTCAACAAAATAGTTTATGGGTCCCATCCTACTTATTTGCTTGTTTTTTTTGTTTTTTAAATATTTCTGTTGAACCACAATTCAAAAGCAATGTCATGATTTTCACAACATTTTTATTTATTATTACTTTTGTCAGTTTCAACTTATTTCATTGACAGCTGTTTTTTCCTTCTTTAATGGGAGGGTATGAATACATTTGAGGACGACTTTATTTATACCCAGTATTATTGCTGGGTATCAACACTGCTGTACCACTGTGTTGAGTTCATGTCAAGTGTTTTAGGTTAGGCCTTGTAATATTGTAGTTTTTTAATGAAAAATATTTAAATACATTCCTATTTTGTTGATTTGTTATTGGATCCCAAACTCAGGGATCATATTGTTGTCCATCTATCCATTATCTCTACATTGCTTAATCCTCACTACGGTTGTGGGGGGGCTGGAGCCTATCCCAGCTGACTCAGGGTGAAGGCAGGGGACACCCTGGACAGGTAACCAGTCTATCGCAGGGCTACACTTAGAGACAGACAACCAAGCACACTCACATTCACACCTACAGACAATTTAGAATCACCAATTACCCTGAGATATTTGTTTCTGGACTGTGGGCAGAAGCCGGAGAACCCGGAGAGAACCCATGCTGCATGGGGAGAACATGCAAACTCCACGCAGAAAGATCCCGGGTGTCCTCACTGGGACACGAACCGGGGACCTTCTTGCTGCGAAGCAATGATGCTAACCTCCAAGCCACCTTGCAGCTCTTCATATTGTTGTGAATATTGTAAATTTTCATATCAATCGCTAATGGGCAGTCTTTGCTGGGCAATGTATATCTTTCAGAGAATTCCAAATTCCAATTCTGACTGGTGGAAATGTTCTAGTATTAAAAAGCATTAAATTAAATTACAAAATAACCAGATTTCCCAATTATGTTGGTAACGGCGAAAAAGCATTGAATTGAAACTGGAAAATAAACACTAATAACACCCACGTGTTTAAACTTCTAGTTATTATAAGCCTTGGTTTGAACTAAATATTATGTTGCTAATTCATAGTCGAACTCACCAAATGTAGACTGTGGGTACAAGCCTGCAACTGACCACACATTTCATGCAGCTTTCTTTTCCCCTTTAACCACCTGTTTGTTACTGTTTCCAAAATCCACCCCTTACTGCAGAAAACAACAACAATCTCGAGGCAGCAACCTACCACACTGAAAATGTCAAAAAAATGTCAAGGATTTGGATTGTGCAGTAAGGCAGCCCTGTTAGTTTTTTTTGTTCCACCAAAATAGTTTCAGTCACTATTTTGAGGCAACACTAAAGCCACATCTTTCGCTCAGGTTTGCCCATGATGACTGTGATTGGTTAAAGGAAACTAAACAAGTGTTTTTTTTTCCTTCTATAGCAGAATTCTAATGAGGTAGCTAAGTGAGGTATTAAAAGCTCACATGAAACACTTGATATTAGTACCAAAATTAAATTGTTGGAAAGTTTTACAGCTGCTCATAGGTGCATCACTCAACAGTAACAATGTGATTCTCTGGTCTGCTCTTACCCTGTAACTGTGGAACAGCTCAATGGCTCGGAGGACGTCAAACTTGCGAGCCATGAGGAACTTGACGGCCAATTCCCTGGACAACGGTGACACCCCATGCTGACTGGTCCACTTGTTGATTTCCTCCAGAAACTGCCTGGTAGCCTGAAACAGACGCAGATGTTGTCACAAACTTTGTACTCCCATAATCGAAGGGTCACATAGGAAGGAAGTGAAACTGGGCTTTAAACTTGATACATCCTCAGAGGAAGTGCTATCTATGGCCTCGCAGAATATTTGACGCAATTTTATGGCCTGGTAAGACATTGCACACATTTCTGTAGAGCCTGGAGAACGAGTCATGACGACTGCTGTATTCAGAATGCACTGACACAGGGAGGTGCCAAACAAACTGTGCTTACTGTAACCAAAATGAGTCGTTTTGCACAAGTTATCCCTCAAGTTTTTCTGGTTCATCTTGTGTGTTAACTGCAGCTATCTTGGTAAATGTTTTGGCATTTTGTGGAATCCAAACAGAAGCCCCCCCAAAAAAAATTCCACACCATGGTTGAGCAGAAAAGAACAAGTACAACTGAGTGGTGATGAAGATAAATGACAGAATGTAGGTGAAAAGGACTTTTGTTCCTTGAAATAAAACCTGCAGTTTAAAGTATGAGAGGGGAAGAAGATGGAATCCTGCTAAACTGGTGTTTATGACATGAAGTTGCTATAATGACAGGGCTGCACACAGACTTTTAATAGTACTTGGCAGCAAAGCCTCATGAGTGCTGAGATATAAACTGATAAAGCAGTTCTTCATCAGCTTGGTGAAACGATGTCACTGATGGAAACTAAATTAAAAGGCCGGTTTGCTTTGTTAGAGAACCAGACCTGGGTTTTGGTATGACTGTTCACCAAGAGGACGGTAAATAGTTGGTCATCAAACTCTATTGATGGTAAATGTCACATGTGCACTCGACATGTTTCAGGTGAAGATGCTATTTAGTTTCTTGTGAAATCTGACTGCGACCACAGGAAAGAACTGCAGAAGAGCGAAGCAAAATGGAAAACAGCTAAAAATGATGACTGATGTTATGATTACTGGTGATTACGTGGCATTAGCGCCCAACATTCTCACCCCTTTTGTGTTTTCTATGAACCCTGTAAGGGGAAACATCTGGCTCTCCAGCTGCCAAATGCTCCACTATTTTTCACTATCTAGCCGTTGAGTTCGTCTGTGTGCCGTTTCGTGCTGAGCAGGTACAGTGCTGAGTCTCAGAGCTCACCGAAAACAGCGGCCTGTCGTGGCCAAAGATGACGCCATGAGCGGTGAAATAAAGTAGTGACAGAGAGCCACAACAGTAAAGTTGTGGGCCTGAAAGCCAAAACAATGAAGTGAACTTCACAAAGACTCCATAGAGCTGCAGAGGAACTGCGGACTCATGACAGTTCATTGTGGGTTTATCACATGTGATACCTTTCTCATCAAAGTAGTCATAAGATGCACTGAAAATGTTTTTAGAAAATCATAAAATTACAATTACAGCAAAATTTGAGCTTCTTTTAAAATGTGGGTCTTACTTTTATGTTGTTTTTTCCCCCCCAACATTAAACTGAATTGAAATTCAGAAAATGTGTCTACCACGGGGCCTTCCACCCATCTTGCAAAGAACTTATACATTTAGCCAGCAGTTGTTCAGGGGCTTCCTGCCACTCTACGCTGATTATACACTCCCTCAGGCCCCCACACTCTCCCACCCTCAGCGCCCGCAGAGTTAGCGAGTCAGCACCAAGTGAATCCTCAAAAGGCGACAGAGGAGGCAATGAAAGCTCGCACTTTAAACACAGGGTTCCGCTTCTCTGGTCAGGCACAGCAGCGGTGGGGCATGCATGGGAGACAGGAAGTCAAGTTCTGGGAATCCGTGGCTCTTTAGGAATACAAAACGATCACTGACGAGCTCTGAGCCTAAAGACAGGATGCCACTGTCTCTCCTCAGGAAAGCCAGCGCTTTCAGAGACAGCAGGGCCTGCAGCTTCTGCTCTGTTCAGATGCCTTAGCATGCAAGGGATGAGGGATGATTGCACCTGACAGGACCGAGGCCGGTTAATATCCGATTCTCATGGGGAAACTGTGCAGGGGGGGTTCCTCTGAATACTCTGCTTCTCCCGGCATTGAAGTATCAGTACAACGGTTCACACAGTATTAGTGTACCACAGTGGCTTACTTTATCACAAATCAGACCTCAAAACTGAACAATGAACAGCACGAGATCCTAGAATGACCTGCAGTATTTGGCTGTGAAAACCTGGCACCTTACCATTACAAAACAGCTCCAAAGAAAGTGTGCCACTCCGATATTGTTTGTGCAGGTGTCTCTTTTCAGTCCAGCAGACCTGATTTTCGAGAATATGGTTACATGATGGCATCTCAGACAGCCCCATTCACTGAAGAAAACCGTGGTATGCAGGTAAAATCCCCACAAGCTAGTAAGAGGGCCTTTGAGATTAGATTACATATAACAATTTTATACAGGTTTGCTGCAAGCAAAAACTTCAGTAAATATAAAATCTCAAAGTGCTTCAGAAAAAGCATTTGACAAAATGGCTAAGGCATGTAGGGAAGTCAGGGTTTTTCTTAAGAGTATTAAAAAAAACTTTGACAATCTCTAAAGTAGTTTTTAGGTTATTTATGGTCATTAACGTGTATTAGATTGCACTTTGCCACAAGAAAAACATACCTTCCTTAAAATTATGTCTCTTAACAGGCAATCCACATGTTCCTCTTAATGCAGGCCGTCTGCTCTTTGTTGTTGAACTGTGAAGCGTTAATCCTTTGGTGTTGGCCAAAGACAACTTCCTGTCAGATTGCTGTCAGGTACACTCAGGTTTCCAAAAAAATTTCAATGGTCTGACAGCTGCTCTTTCTCTCTTAGCCTTTTAAGGACTGCCTGCCAACTCCAGGCAGTGACCCTCTGTTCCTGTAGAAGCCTGTCTTGTTTGGTTTTTCTGCACTCGGGGCCATATCCGCCAGAGTGGAATTTGAGGATGAACCAGTTTGTTTTCATGATAGCACACCGGACTGCGGTGGAAGACTCGCTGCGGAGGAGTGACTTATTCAATTCCTGGAGGATGCATAAATATTTGCCTGACTTTCTCCAGTTCTGAAAGAGCTGAAGATCTTCTTCTTGATTATTCATTTTAAAAAGCACTTAATTCTAGTTTATGCTGCCCGACATGAATCCAAATACGCTGAGAGGTTTGTGGAAGTATCTGGTCACAAGTCATTTTGAATGCCGAGTTCTGGCCTTCCAAAACACAGCTGACATTACATAATCCCGCTTGCTGTCAGGGGACGGTCAGTCTTGGTGTTGACAATGGCTGCCAATAACCAATTGATTAGATTAACTGTGGTAGCGACCTGCTGTGCTCGGAGTTAATGGATGAAGTTGTGGTTGGTTCTTACCCTCTGTCATCTAGCACGTACACGACTGTTGGAGACGCTGCATCGGAGGACTCACGGCTACAGGAAACCATCACAGAAAACTGCTGCTACAGGCAGACGGTCCCAGGAATCGCTCACATATTCCCTCATTTACTCGCAATATAAAAATCCTGCGCAATAACAGGCAGGAGTAATTGGTGCTTCACTCTGCAGTGAGCAGTTAACAGAGATGACAGACAGTAATGAATCATCATTATTTTGCATCATTCCTGGCAGGTGTAGTGTCCCCTCAACGCCGCTTTCACCTCTTTATAGTGCGACGCGCTGCTTTGAGGATATTATTAGCAGAAAGTAGAGTAAATGCCGTAGAAATGGGCTGTTTATCATCATTTCCCTCTGTGTTGTCTTCAAATAGCTGAAAGACTGGAACATTCAACTCACTGTACAAATTTTGCTTAGAAGCAAGAAGCGTTACTGTTTGGTGCTTTTGCTTGAAAATGAACTTAAACGAGAGCTAAACAAGATTAGTGTGAGTGTAACAGGCAATGTTTCAGGCTTAGGTGATGAGACAACCTTTAAATTCACAATACAAAGTGTTCATAACCAGGTTTTTAATGTATTTGATTGCTGCTCTATGATTAGATTAAGAACACCAACCCTGGCAATTCAATACATCATCTGGATGTGTAACACTATATTCTGCGGTCTCCAGATATAATTCGGTACATCTCCATTTCCTGCTGCTCAACATGTATTATCTGTGCAAATTTCTGCCACCTACACCCTTGATGCTGAGCTCCAACCCACCATCTTCTACTCAGCCTCCTTCTGCCACAACTGCCCACAGCACTGGTACATTAGATGCTTCCAACAGACCACATTCCTCATGTTGCTTCATGCTACCAATCATGACTGCATATCTGATTCTGAAACATTTTTACAAATTTGCACATGGGTCACATCACAATATATACGCTGACTTGTCAACTATTAGAGACTTGGCTATAGTGCTTACATTGAGCTCTCACTGTAATATCTGGATGTATGAGTCTACAAATCCGTGGGAAGGACTATTTCATGTTGATAATATTTGCTTAAAATATCTAAATGCTCTGGCATGCCATAAATCTTGGCGATAGGACCAAAAGCTCTTAACTGGAAAGCTTAAAATGTTGTTTTATATTATTAAATGAGTTTAAGTGATGCAGTATGGGGGTTTCTGTCCATCTATGTTTGTTTAAAGACCCTCTCTGCTGAAAATTAAGTTGTTTTTCTTTTTTTTTTACCTTGCTGACATATCTATATGGCGTTTTTTTCAAACAAGCTGGAAGACGTATCATGATTGAACCGAATCCTACCGATGACAGTCACAAAAACACAGGGTTGCATAAGTGGGTTAGCTTGTGTGCTCTGGCTTCAGCATGGAGGGGTGGGTGGAGAGAGAGGCGGGAACTTCATAGAGCCACACATTTTCAAAGGAGAAACAGTGTAAAGAAAAGGAAAAATTCACAATAGTCACTCAGATAACTGGAAACTGACAAAATTAATAAGTTACAGAAAACACTTGATTGCAGTGATTGGCTCAAAGGGTTGTTCAACAAAATATTAGTTTATGGGTCCCATCATGCCTGTTTGCTTGTTTTTTTGTTAGAAATATTTCTGTTGAATTACAATTCAAAAACAATGTCATGATTTTCTTTTTTTTTTGTTATTATTACTTTTGTCAGTTTTAACTTATTTCCGTAACAGCTGTTTTTTTCCTTCTCTAATGGGAGGGTATCAATACATTTGAGGATGACTGTATATGTAAGCTTCATACACAGAGATGAGTGTTTAGTAGTTAAATAAACAATCGGAGAGGGTCTTTTAAAAAAAAAAAAAAACTAAAAAAAACCCCAGCACACTAAGAAAGTAATCTGCATGATATCACCAGTTGTGAACCTTTCATCATTCAGTGGCGGCTGTGGCTCAGGTGGCAGAGCGGGTTGTCCACTAATCACAAGGTTGGAGAGGTTCTATCCTTGTCCTTGGGCGAGACAGTCAAAGCCGCTTTCAAAGGCAGGTGAACACCTTGAAAGGCAGCTCTGCCGTTATTGAAGGTACAGAAGCTATAAATGCTGTTGCATGAGAAACATTGTAAAGTACTTTGAGCTCCACCAAGGTAAAAAGCTATGCAAGTGCAGACCAGTCACCATAAAGCTACCAACAGTGTGATGGATGATTTTATTCATTCCCTACGTCCCGTCCCATAGATTGTAGATTCTGACGACTTTTTATTAACTGCTAAATTTCATGTAGACATGTCAGTGCTCCAGTCCTGGGATTGTCCATGATATGATTTTTTTGTTTTACTTACTACCATCATACTCTTTTGTTGCGAGGATTTGTCATCAATGTGTCCAACACTAACACTGATCCCATTCTAATACCATTTTTCCACTGTACTCACAGTCCAGTCAGAAGGAGTCAGACGGTAAATGCTGACTGTATCAATGTCTCAGATGAAAGAAATTATGTGGAAGGATTAGGAAACTGGTGTAACGTGAGTGTCACGATCACACCTTGATCCTTTGAACAATGCATGTTTTCATTGTTATGTTGCAAGAGGACTGCCCTTGACGTTGTCTTCCCTAGAACCTATTTGATGTCAGATGCCATGCTAATCTATTTACAAATGTAAGGCTGCTGTTGCCAAGCGGCTTCGCTTCACTTCACTGAGTCCCATTTGGCACGAGTCAATACCAAAACAGGAAGTCAATAACGTCACTATCTCCCTATTCCCCACTTTCTCTCACTCCGCTGCTTCCTGGGAGTAGACTCAACACACACACATGCACACACACACACACACACACTCTTTCTCTAAGCACATGATAGACACACACACTCTGTAACTCATAAACTCCCCCTTCCCCCCCGGAGTCTAGTGGAAATACTTTTAACAGCTGCCCTTAGAGTGAAGTTCCACTACACCAGTGTATACTCCCGAGAGAGCCACCCTGCCACACACACAAACACACACTGACACACACAATCCACCCAAACACCCCCCCTCACCTCCCCGCTAGGCTGTAGATGTAATGAGGGCGTCCGGTACCCTAGCAGGGGCCCTGGCTCACACAGGAAATGGAGTAGGCAGATAAGGAGCTTTCTGCTGGCCAGATGATGAGAGGAGTCAGCAGGAAGAGTAGACACGGGCAGCACCGAGGAGGAGAAGACATGAGAAATCTCAACTAAATACATTATTCTACCTCTGCAACCATTTTGCTTTGCTGGTGCTAAATTTCATATGGTTGCATGATAGCATTAATCCCACTACAGCCGTTTACTGTTGACATTCAGCTACCAGTTTGTCAGCATCCATCACATGGATAAATGTACTGCAGTCCAGTGCAACACTCCTGCAAAGATGCCCAACTTCCTCACGGTTTTGGATTTTTGTTCATTCAAGTTTCGAGGCTGCAGTTTGCGGCGCTGTTTAATTGCATTGAATTATATTGTAAGTATCCTATATGAGGTAGAAAATACTAAAAACTATGATTATTGATATTTGAGATAGGTAATTTCTTTTTTTATACAATCTGTAAGATAAATATTGCCAATATTCCCTTAAATTTGTCAAATCAACTAGACAAACTTTAAAATAAAATGGTGTCACTGTTTCAAAACCTATTCAGAGCACAGACCTGTACAGCTAATATACCATTCAGACCAATGTATCTGTCAGGTTCAATTACAAACACCTCTGAATACAACAATATAATGTGAAATTAGTACAAAACAGCTGCCACACAGACAAACTTCAGTGTATAACCTTCAGGAAGGTAGGATTTATGGCACGACTGCTGTTGGAGACTGAATTAGTTTTTGGCAGGATGATAAACAGCAAGTGAGCGTTTATTAAACAGGGCCGCAACTGCTATTTTCCATTGCTGAATATTCTGCTATTACTCTCGCCAGAAAAATTAGGATATTGTAAAAAGTACCAATCCTGATTTCTAATAAGGCTAAGATAAACTCTTTAAAGTGCTTCTGTCATATGAACAACAGTCCAAAAGCCAACAATATTTAATTCACAATCACTGAAGACCAAAACCAAGAAGGAGCAAACCTTCATAACCGAGACACCAGAACTAAAAGATGTTGAGAAATTACTGAAAACAACAGCAACAAAACAATATCTGATTAATCTACTAATTCCTTCTGCTCTAATTGTTAGTCTCTTTCAATCCTGGTATAAATGCTCAGTTATTCAGGCTCTGAGTTCATGAAGCTTACAATTAGCTCATAATGGGCTACTGTTCTTGGGATTTTTTATCACTATGTGATCTAAAACAGAGAGTGGTGTGACTGCTTATTTTTTCGTTTAATTCATTGGTTCTTAAAGCCAAGTCTGATTTCTAACAGGATTTACTGAAAGGAGAAACTTGTCAAAACTAAGCTTCACAAAGAGATAAAAGGTTGAGATAGAATGTTATAATACATCTAAATATGTGAATGAATGTGCATTATAAGATGTTCAGATGCCACATTCACAGTGATTAATTGCCACATAGCTCGCAGGGCTCTGCAGCCCGGGCCGAGCCAAGTTTCTACTGTAAAGCCCACATTTGTGAATGACCCAAATGTGGAAGCGGTTTCCAACTCTGCCTCCTCAAGCCTTCCCGGTAACATCACGGTGTGTAACTCGAGACTGGAAATGAACCTTTTTTACATGTGCGGCGGCTGACGGAGGCGAGCTCGGCCTGTGTCGCAACACATCAGCTCAGCCGCTGGAGAGGAACTGACAGTGATGCAAGCGGAGCAATAATGCGCCAGAAATCGATACAATATTTCCGCTCTGAAATCGGGACCGTTTCGCAACCGATCCACCATTGCGCACTGCCAGTCGCTGCGGTGCGCACAGCCCCAGCGCACGGCAGCGCCAAAGGAAAAAAAAAATACCTGCAGGTACACACTGAAACATTTGGGCCAAAGCAAAAAAAAATAAATCAGACACGAAGAAGTGTTAGGACTCTTAAGGCCTACCTGCTCTTCCTCCGCCGATAAAGTAGCTGCCATGATTCCCGTCAGCTCTCTGATCACCTTTCAGCCAAACGCGTCCTTTTCATGAAGTAGGAGATGACGGAGATGTCTGTATGTCTGTCCCTCGTGTAAAAACGGGGTTTTAGGGGTTGTCCCTCTCGCTCAAAGTTGAAGGCATCTGCAGTTTGAGCTCAGTGTTTTCTCTTTGCGAATCACCGCAGGGCCAATTAGCAAGAATCTGCCATCCAAAACTAAGAGAATAGAGCCGCTGATGTTGTGTCAGATTTCACCGAGCAGAAGGAAAATAAGGCAGGGAAGAAAAAAAAAAGGAAAGAAGAAAAAAAAAAAACAACACTCGAGCAGCTAGACGAGGCTTCGCTTCAGCTCGATGGTGACCGGGCTCAGACCCTGATCCGCGGCTCTTCCAGATAACCTGACACACATCAGAGGGCTGCAGCTGCCCACTGGCTCCTCCATGCCATGAATCGCAAGTTTTTAGCGCTGAACGTCGCCTTTATGCTGTGAGAGAGACTGACACACACGGCCCCGAACAATGAGGCGGACTGTGAGCTTTCTTTCTGCATGTTGCTGTACCCCCTGGTGGTTAAGACCAGAACACGACAAAAAGCTCACTGACCTCCGCCTTCATTCATAAAAATAGGAAACCAAACAGGAAAATCACCATTTTGAGCTTCAGGTAGTATCTGGAGTCATGAGGGCTCCGAAACACTGGAGGCTTTAAAAAGAAAGAAAAAAGAAAGAAAGAAAACAACTTGCATCTTCTTGTTCTGTTGCATTAAAGCTCCCTTAACTGTGTGTTTATTCTTCATTTACTGGAACAGTTATGCTAATTATTTTAGCAAGTTAGCTAGCATAATTTGCAGAAGTAGGGTATTTTCAAATGTATCTGCTAAGGAGGAAAGCTTTATTATACTTACCTTAAAGCAAAAGTTGGAACCTCAAAGAAATATGCCTAATGGCTTTCTAAGACAGCACTCTTATATTTGTTAGCAGAACTAGCGTAAATGAGAAGCTACTGCTAGCAGCTAGTTAGCTTAGCACACATTAGCATAAAGACTGGACAGCCAGGCCATCTTTGTCTAAAGGTAAAAACCTGCAAGAGCTACTGAAGCTAACTAAGTAATTTAATAGATTGCTAATTCAATTATTTATTCTCCACAAAACCCAAAGTACAAAAATAATATGGCTTAGATTTACGGTTGTCTGGTCACCATCCCAGACTTGAGAAAGTTTCTACTCCCAGCAAAAAAATGATAGTTCAGAAAATTGATGTTTGTATTTGTATTTTTTATTTTTTTAACTTTTTTGTTTGTTTGTTTTTAAGCAGATTACACAAAGAACACATATTATCATTACATGCATTTTGGAGGTGCTGGTGATGTCATTACATTTGAACACACTAGCTACTTGTCTTCTGCCTGTATGCTAAGCTAAGCTAGTTGGCCCCTCCTGCGGTAGCTTGACGCTACACGTGGAATTTGTACATGAGTTTAGTTTGGGAAATACTTGCTTACGTTCTTGCTGAGGGTTAGCCAAGAATAACTATAGCACCACTTTCATGTAGATGCTATAGCCTGAAGTTGGTTAGCTTAGCTTGGCACAAAGACTAGAAATGGGGGAACGTAGCAGGTTAACATAAGGCTGTTTTCCACTGCAGGAGCTGGCAGATTGTGTGTTGACTGCATGAACCAACTTATGTAGAACCCCTTTCACTGCCTTTTTCAGGAGAGCCTACTCCATGGGAGGTACTTCTCAGCAGTCCTAAATAACTACTGTATTAGGTTGATGCTAATTGATTAAATTCAGAGTGGACAGCAAGCACCATTTTCCTGCCCGCTCGATGTCTTTGTCCCGTAACAAACATCGCCATCAGCCATGTAAAATTCACCATACAGGCTAACATCACAAAGCCTCTATTGTTCTATCTGTTATGCTTTCAAACAGCTACAGTTAGGTTGGGTAACTACTATTTGTCGTTGTTTTGGCGCCCTCTGAATCGACATTGCAGTCGAAGCTGCTGGATCCTATGCCGCAATGGAAACAGAGAGGCTGAAAGGGCCAATTATGGAGGCGTTCCTATAAATGTTCATGCCATTTCGCGCCTGCCCAGAGTTCCTGCACAGGAAAGCTGCCTCCAAAGTCTCTAATTACCACATTATATATCATTAGATGTTGTTTGTTTACTCTATAAGAAAATTGTTAAAGTGATAAGTTGTAGTTTTATTTATATTAAACAAGATTTGAGGTGTTAATTATTTAGCTGCCGATGTGGTTGTAGGCAGATTTGGTTATGCTAAGCTAAGCTAACCAGGTGCTACTTCCGTTGCTGCAGATTCAGACACGAGAGTATTGTTGTTGTGTTCATTTAAAATTCTGCCATTTTAAGACATATAGGTACAACAATAATTTTGTAAAATAGTTTGAAGAAAACCGTGATCACACATGCAACATCCAAAAACTGCTAAAAAAAAATGGAATTCTCAGTAGATAGGAGACATTTTGCATCTACTAGGTAAGCTTGAAACAAAACATACAACACAAGAAAGATTATTTATTATCTGGGATTTAAAAAAAATCACTTATCTGTCTCTATAATCTGTTTAAGATACACGCTTTTATCTTTGTATCAGCTGTACGTCTATATCAGAACAACATTCTTCGCACTGTCACTGCACATCAGTCATACATGAAATAGAGTGAGAGGAAATAATGAATAACAGCTGTAGGCCTTTTCGTGATAGCTGGTTGCAATAACAGTAGTTTAATTAGTGAAACTCTCAGCTTGTGCATCCCCCAGGCTACGTTAGCATCAAGTACGCTTTACAGGAATTGCATGACATCATAGGAAAGAGAAAATACCCAACAGTACGATAAAATCACTGTAACATGAGCCACAAACACACTGCAGGTCTCTCTAGGAATATTATGGGCTGCTGATATATTTTAGCAGGGAGGTTAGTTCAAGTGCAGCCAGAAAATTACATCTTCTGCGAGGCTACTGATCGCCCTCATTTCGTATTTTCACATGTAGTGATGACACTGTAAAAGTAATATAATACCAAAGAGGGCACGAGTTTGAACAGATTCCCTGAAGTGCCGTTAACTTTATTGTAGATAATGTTCTACCTCTGGATAAAGAAGGAAAACAAAATAGGCAGACTATTTGTTTATGTGTTTTTTTCTGGAAAGGTGGGTAATTATAGGTACACTGAAATGTTTGTTTCTTTTCTGTAAAAAAATAGATCCCACAATAGGCAAACTGTAAATAATGAGGCGTGAGAAAGTCTGGCTTGAAAAACCAAAGGGAAAAGGGAGTGGACAACAATAGACTTCCTGTCCAACCGGCTGACATCATGTCCTTTGGGAAAACGTGATTGGTAAAGCCATAGTCCTGCCCACATAATGTGCACCCTGACAAAACAAAATCTCTGAGTGCATCAAACATTTAAGAGATGAAGGCCAGATTTAACTTGCAGTGCCAGTCAGTAATAGCTGAGAAAGGAAGAGTAAGTTGTTTATAGTTTCCAGAAAATGTATTTCCTCCGAGGTGCTGTGTTTAACATGTACCACTCTAAGACCTGACACAATAAAGCTTGAATGACTGTATGGAAATCGCTTGTAACTGGAATTTATAAGAATCACAAAGACACTGAGCATCGCACTGTGACTGTGTGAGGATGTGATGTTCTCAGTATTGTGAGTGGGAATTTAGAGGATTCACTGAGCTCAGGGGAAATGTATATTCTTTACTTACATGCCTGTTGCACATGCTGGGTTTTAAAGAATTATTTATTTTTGTTGTTGGTGTAAGCGTGTTTAGTTTTGATTAATAAAGCAATTAAGCATAGAGAAGCCAACCTCTGTGCACACACAATCCAGTATGCATCATCTTTTTTCAGACATTATGTTTTGACAGGTGCTGGAGAGTTGTGGGAGAAACGCAAATCTGCTTCCGTCTTTCGATGCCTTGGGTTCCATGAAGATTTACAGAGAGCTGCATGAGTGTGTGTGTGTGTGCATGTGTAGGAGACTCACAGCGCTCTCAGAAGTGTAACTGCGGATCGACAGGTGCTGAGTTCCTGGAAAGTGATCGTTGCTGCTGACTCATACCTGAATTAACCACACGCCTGACTTTGCTCTCTTTGGCAGACCTCTCAGTGAGATGTGACTAAATGTGAAAGGAGAAAGATCCGACTGTATTCGATGAACTGCGTTTGTCAATTTGCACTGAATTACTATGCATGCAAAATTCAATGCAAAAAATGCGACATTTTTCTTTTTTTTTTTTTTAAAGAAAACTTGCATATGCTACTTTTTGTATTACCCACACATGTGAGGAAACTATGGGAAACTACTTCTGAATGCAAATGTGGAAACTTTGCTCATGCTGTAGCATAATCTAGAAGAAATTCAACTGCTGATTCATCACAAGCCACAACTATACAGTCTGTGGTTATAACATACATAATACTATGTCCTTGTCTATTTTGAAGAAGGAAATTCTTGCCAAAAAGCACATTACAATAGCCGATGCTGGTGCGATCTGTGCTGCTTTCCAGGACTTATCGCGTGATGAGATATTGTAATTGAGGTGCAGTGGATTTCCTGTAGCTGCATTGCGCACCTTCCTCCAGTTCAGTCATCTCCTACGTTTCCCAGAATGGGTTATCTCCACAGAAGCGTTTGAACATGTTATTTTCACCTGTTAATGTTCCGCGTAGGTGGTGAGCGTAATAGTGATACCATCTTAAGAACAAAAGGAGGAGAAAATACTCTTTTTTTCTGTTTTTTTTTTCCAGTGCAGAAGAAGTGGCTCCAACACCAGTCACGACACGTCCTTTCAGCTGCATGTGGGTCTTCTGAGGTTTCAAATGATGAACGTGACTTGGTCAGTTTTTATCACAAGATGCCACTCTTTGGTTCTGTTTAGCTGGTTTCAAATTCTAAACTCCATTTATTGTAATGACGCCCTTAAAGAATTCAAATCTTGTATCTGTAAGTAGGAAATAAAATTTATCTCCACATCTTCAAATGACAAAATAAGTATCCTACCATGTTTAGCTGCTTAACAGATAACATTCACTATCTTAGTCTAGCGTATTAGCTTGCTAACATTTGTGAATTTGCACTAAATACAAACAACTTAAGCATAAGTATTTAACCATGAATTAAAACGCGACAAAAATGTATTACTAAACAAAAAGTTAAAGGATCACCCAAGTGATTCATCGTGAGGGGACAATGAATGCCTTTAAATAAATCATATTTGAGACATTTTTAACCAAAAATATTGAGTATATAGGTAAAGTCCAGTCATGTTAAGGTTATTTATAAAGTACATATAACCCATATTGAGCCAAAGTGCCTAAAATTAAAAGTTTCAAAATTAAGGTTAAGACTATGGTATTATTTATAATTTGTATTCACCTAAGTACTTAAAATTTTATGGTTAAAACACTACAATATTATATACAATACAAACATAGCTGACCAAAAAGTTAAGACCCTGCAATATTATAAATAATGCAAAGTACCCAACTAACTTGAGTGACAAGGTTAGGAACTCTAAATATTACATACTCTAACAAATTACCTGATTAATTTAGAAGATAAACTTAAGACCCTACAAAGTAATACATGGATTTTTTTTTTCCTCCTTTATTTTATCAGGTAGGTTAATTGAGAACAGATTCTCATTTACAATAACGACCTGGCCAAGAGGCAGCACAGAGCAGAAAATACAATACATCCATAAAAAACAATACACAAACAAAACGTAACAATAAAAGGCTTTGAAGATGAAATACACTAAAAGCAGGTACAGGACTCAGCAAATAGTTACTTCACCATATTTCTAAAAGAAGATAAAGGTATAAAGACACTCAGTTTGAGTGTTTTTTGTAAGTGGTTCCAGTCAAGAGCTGCAGAAAACTGAAATGAATAGCAGCCAAAGACAGTGCGGGCTTTGGGGATGAGGAGGTGGATGAGGTTGCTGTTGCGAAATGAGCGGCGGATGTGACGGGTGATGAGTAGTGAACGTAGGTATGCCAGAGTTTGGCCTATGATAGTTTTATAAATGAACAAATACCAATGGGTTTGCCTGCGGGAGTGAAGAGAGGGCCAGTTAACTAGGCTGTACAGAGTGCAGTGGTGAGTCGTGAAGGGGGCACCAGTGACAAAACGGATGTCTGTGTGGTAGATAGTGTCCAGTTTATGGAGGAGGGATTTGGATGTGGCTCTATAAAGTAGTAGTAGTAGTAGTATGCCCAGTATGGAACCTTGGGGAACACCTTTGTGAAGAGGTAGTGGGGCCGAGAGAAGACCCTCCATCCTTATGGACTGTAAGCGCCCAGAACAGTAGCTACTGAACCAGGAGACACAGGTTTCAGAGAGACCAATATTTCTTAGCCTTTCCAGCAAGATGGGGTGGTCAACAGAATTAAAAGCTTTAGATAGATCAACAAACACAGCAGTATTCCTTGTTGTCAAGGGCACAGATAATGTCATTAACCACTTTCATCGTGGCAGTGATGCAACTGTGGCCTGATCTAAAGCCAGACTGTAGAGGGTTAAAAGGCTTTGTAGGTTTCTAGATGGCCTACAAGCTGTTTGTTGATAAGTTTTTCAAACACTTTGGCAAGGCAGGGCAAAATGGAAATAGGTCTGTAGCAGTTCAGGTCAGCATTGTCTCCTCCTTTGAATAGTGGGACAACAGCAGCAGATTTCCAGACCTGTGGGAAAACTCCTGTTTGCAGCGAGCGGTTAAACAAGTCACAAATAGGAGGAGCAATGACATGAGCACCAGCTTTTAAAAAGATTGGGTTTAGCCCATCCAGTCCAGCAGATTTATGGGTATCCAGATTGAGCAGTTCCACCAATACCTCAGAAACATGAATAGGCTGAAAAAAGAATAGGGTGTGTTCTGAGGCAGGTGGAAGGGATACAGATGCTGAAGTGACAGGAGAAGCAGAGGAAGGCGGTGAGTTGTTACCAGCCTTGACAAAATGCTTGTTCAAATATTCCAGCATCTTGGATTTATCTGTGACAACACAACCGTCAGTCTTAATAACAGCAGGCAGATGTGAGGATATGCTTTTGTTTTCGAGTACATGTACAGTTTTCCAAAATATTCTAGGGTTTGTACCATTGGTAAGTAACTGCTGTTTAAAATAGCCAGTTTTTGCCGGTCTTATTGACTGAGTACATTTATTTCTGGCCACCCTGTATAGCTGCCAGTTGGATGTTTTATTAGTAGTCTTAGCCTTTCGCCATAGGTGATGTTTTTCATAGACAAGCTCAGACAGGTCAGAACTAAACCAGGGACTGTGACGATTTTTTATTCTGAACTTTTTAAGAGGAGCGTGTTTGTTGAGAACAGCAATAAAAGAAGATTTAAAATATAACCAAGCATCTTCAACATCGGGAATGAGACCAACTCTGTGCCAATGTATGAGTGCAAGATCATACAGAAAAGCCTGCTCATCAAAGTTTCTGAGCAGGCGTTTGCAAACCACCAGCGGTGGATGTCTTGCAACAGATCCTCTGCGGACACAAGCTATGCTGCAGTGATCACTGAGGCTTTGACAGAACACTCCAGATGTGTACTGGTCTGTTGGTAAGTATTATGTCAATGAGTGTGCCAGAATCCATTGACTTGGTACTGTACCTGGTCGGTGCAAGTACAATTTGGGAATTCAAAATTCAAATTCAAAGATTTCCTATGAGCAGCATAGTTGCAGCAGTATAAAGGAAGAGATCTCCAGCAGAACCAGGCTCTGGGATGGCAAGTATCTGCCTTGACTGGTTGGGGCGAGGGTAAAGGGGAAAGAGACAATGAAAGCAGAGACGAACAGACAGGTAATTAACTGGAAATCGCAAATACTGGACAGATCAGTGGGACCATACACTGCTGGTCAGACCTGTGTAACTCCAGCGCCAGAAATACAGAGAGGACACAGTACAAACTATGAAAGAGATGACACAGATTGGTCAGGTGACAATCAAAGTTATAAGGATCCATCATTTGGGAACCATGAAGGTCTAAGCTAAATTTATTGGCAGTCATTCCAGTAGTTCTTAAAATATTCCAGTCTGGACCAAAGCCATGTTACTAGCATAGCTAAAAATAACTTATATATATATGTAAATATAAAATCAGGAACTATTGCTTCAATAAGGTTTCTTGGAAACATCAAACAAAAGGTAAAAGGGATCCTCCCCAAGCCAGCCAAAATCTGGGAACCTGAGGCAATGATCTCTGGTGTTGTTTCTCAGAGGATGTGCTGGCACAGGTTTCTGAAACTAAATTCTCAACCCCGCCAGACACTTTCACGTCTTTTCCTGTCGACAGTTTCCGCCCTGCTCTTCACAGTTACGCAAATGGCACAGTGAGCTCAGCGCAGAGGGGAGGACGTGCTCATGAATTCTGCTGATGAGCACTGTGACTCATATCTTACCATACACTGGAACATCAGCTGCTTAAAGCTACATTACAGTGCAATCAAATCAGAAGTCTCTGTAGAGGGTTTTTAAATTCAAAGCTTACTTTAAAACTTCTACTTTACTTATGTAAGTTTATATATAACTTAGAATAAACTTTTTCACACTTAGTTTTCTATATAATTATCTTTCCTTTATGAAAGAACCCTGACTAAAATTACATGATCATTCCCTCATATGTGTGTGTGTGTATATATATATACATATATATATATACACACATATATATATATGTGTGCGTGTGTGTATGTGAATATTTTAATATTTGGATCAATAACTGGATCTAAAAAACAAGCAGTTATGCTTTTCTTGAAGTCTTAAACCAAAAAAATATTCCTATATTCAATTTCACGTCAAGGGGATCAAATTGATGCTGAAATTCTGCAGCCCTTTCATTGCAACTCCAAAAATTCAGCAATCTCTGCAAACACAATGGACAGAGTGTAGGTCATTAAAAAAAACATTTATTTAGATACATACACATTAAAACACTAAGCTATTTTAAATCGAACATTAAATTGTAAAAGTCCACGTCGCAGCTCACACACTCTGACCAGGAGGCCATAAACCTTCCAAAGCACTCCATTACTGTTGCTTATACTGATGATTTACTCAAAATGTCAGCATTTTCCAGGAAGTAGGCATTAACCTGCAAACACCTGCCAGCAGTGAGGATGAGATGTTTCTTATGCACGATCTTTCTGAAGTGCAAATATTGCAGAGCAGCAAAATCACACTTCTTCACAAACGTTACTGTCCTGCACTTTGCACAGCATGTCTCACATTAGACACCTTTTGTTAACCATTTGTGGATCTGCGATGGTCCTTGGCATTCGGTATATGTATTACAGACTGTGAAATAGTAATTACAATGGCAGATCGTTGTGCAGTCATTCCCAAAAAAACTAGGTGTTTCAGGTTTGCAGCAGGTACAACATGCAAATATCAGGTTGGATTTTTGGCCGTATGATACTTCAGCATTGCTCTACTAATCTGCACTCTGACGGCGTCCAGAGCAGTGCTGGATTAGAATTAGCTATGCTTTGCAATTGGTCAGATCTGCAGAACCATTCAGCAGACATTCTAAAGAACCATATGTGGGCCGCCACCACACAGAAACACTGACTTAACAATTTGCATCTCGTTAAGTCCCCCACTCAGACCTCCATGTGTGCTTCTCTTATTGGTTTCTGATTCAAAAAGTTCAGCTTGTCCTCACTGTCCCGGATTGGGGTGGACAGGTACTCTAACTCGTAGCCGCCACTGCTGTTGGCCGGGCGGACTTCGCCTGATGTTTTCTTGTGCTCCCGGATCTGCTGCAGCTGGTGGCTGGCGTACTCAGGCTTGGTGGTGAGGGGTCCCACAGGAACCTCTATGCCCAGGATGTCGGTGACCATGTAGGGGCGAAGCCAGCCAACCAGAGGGGTGCTGCCGGGGGTGTAGTGGGTCTGGCGGTGGTAGAAAAGGAGACCATCCACCTGCAGCCAAAAAATCACATGTAAAGGAAGGAACTGAAGTCTGATGAGAAACTCATAATACATTCTAGCGTCTGTATGAGATTAAAGAAAATTTTAAGAATCTGTTAAGATGAAAGGGTGAACTTTTTTACTTACACTGAAGCTGTACTCTGCTGCCAGGGCCTTCTGAATCAATTCCACTGTGCATTCTGTGCTTTGGAGACTCACAAACCGGAACTGTTGGACCAAACAAAACCAGAGCACTGCGTTGTGACTTCCAAACACAATTTGTCTAGTCAAATGTGAGAAATTGCTTTCCAGTGATGAGTTTACCCAACAAGGACTGAGCATGATTTAGCTCTTACTGGGCTGTACCACACAAATCCGGAAGATTAATAGGTGAAACTTGAACTCAAAGTTCACCCAGGCTTCCGCAAAGCACCATAATCTTTAAGATTTGTGTGTAATAATCACTTTAGTGCACAATTACTCCAGAAGACTGCAACTGGAGACTAATTTTCCTTTGTCTCTGTTCACCCCGTGGAGATCTGGGCTCAAGTGCTGGATTTTGTTTATCCCACATGTGAAAATAAGGGTCAGCAAGGCAGAAAGCACAGTAAACAAAACTCAGAAAACCTTAGACTGAGTAAACATGTTGCAGTGTCTCTCGTAACAATAATGAGGTCTGAAAATCTGGGATGAAACAGGGGGCATGAAGTGAATGGACTCAGTTTGTGGTGCCGGTACATACAGGGTTACGTTTAGCGATCTCTGATAGGCCGTCTGTCTCCTGGACTTTGGATTGGAGCCAGTAGAAACGGAACTCGGTCTGTTGATGAGAAAACAAGCATTGTAAACAAAAAAAAAATCCTTTTTGAATTTTGAGCCATTGAGATGGGCAACGTGGCAAAAAAGCACATCTGTGTCCCAGACTCTGCTACTTAAGCAATTAGACAAGCATTCCTGGATTGCTGGAGGATTGGAAGCCAATCTTACTGGGCAGTCGTAGACCGGGTGGCCTCTCCAGCACATGACGTCCAGGATGTAGTATGTTCTGTCCACCTCACTGTAAATGCAGTCTAGGATTGTGTAGTCTGCTTGTACCACATGCAAAAAAAAGAACACTTTTAGTTAGTTTATATCAGCTAGTATACAAATCATTCATAGTCACATAAATATCAACAATTATCAAGTAAACAGAAAGCGATAAGAGGAATTTAGAACAATGTGGTGCAAATTGACCTCAAAAGTGGAGTCAGCAACTCTAATCCAATAACTGTCAATTTTATCAACTATTCCCACACAGTCCATCAGTTGTCCATTCTGTGTGCACTGAAAAAAGTCAAGTGTTTGCACACAGGATTGATTCTGTAAATGGGAAAAAAGAAAAAAAAAAATCAAACCAGCTTGGACTGATCAACAGTACTCTATCCGAGCCAACCAGCAACATGGGGCGTGTGCACTAATGCACAGAGTTCATGCCCAGGACAGCGCTCCAAGTACCATGAATTCAGAGGATTTTTAAAACACTGCTGCCCCCATGAGAGACAGTGGCAAACTCTCCTCTACTGCCTGTTTCTGAGAAGGACAAAAAGCTGGTTTCAGTGCCACCGTGCTCTGCGTCTTTGCTCATGGACCCAAAACAAGACTCCCATCCACTACTGATATAACGCGTGGTCTGTGTTCCAGCCTGTAGCTCTTTTATTAGTGGGGTCACCGTTGCAATCTGCATCCATGAAGTTGAAGGCTTCTGAAGGAGCACTGACTGTAGAGCTGTGTTTGGCTGTTGAACAAATATTCTTAGGAATGTCTTACCCCACCTTTAACACATCTTCAGGGACTCTGACAGAACTTTTGATCAATATAAGGAAAACAATTACAAGTTCTGATAATTGTCTGTATTGCAAATCACCTTTAGGTCCTGTATGAGGTTTTGTATCAAAAATAAATCAGATGACGCTCAAACTGATCATCCTGAGGACGGTGCAATAAATGAACAGCCATTACTGCAAGACATTTTAGCAACAAAACCTTAATATAAGCTTGTTCATGAAGAGAAAAAAAGAAAAACTGTAGGACTGCAACAATAATAACTATTTGCTAAAGTTTCAGTTGGATCTTTGCTCTAACTGACCCTCTTAATATCCTTTTTTCTCCTTCATTTCCCCTTTAGTAGCTTCTACATTATTAAAATCGGTGTAATGGATAATGGTTTCTAGGGCTACATCTTTTAATCAATGGGAATAGTTTCATTTTGTCATCATTTTTTAAACATTTAGAGAGAATGCAGCCTGTCATAATTAGTACCTTTAAAAAACTGCAACATCTCCACTAGAACTTAAAATAAAGTTCTGCGTGTTTAAACAAATCTTGGCTCTGCTGAGTGAGTTTGAACTGACTGTCCCAGCAGCAGGTAGGTGGAGTTTGGAGGTAAAAAATCTGTCTCTAGGATTATCACATTAATAACCTGAGCTGGAAGTTATTTTGATGTTGTTGAAATGAAATAAACTCACAGGTGAAAGGGAGGACCGTGGAGTACTTCCTCGTGTTGTTAAAATGCCTGAGTGGCCTATTGCAGTGAATCACAGAGTTCCCGATACAACAGGCCCACCTACCTTTTCCCATGGCAGAGTTGTGTCTGTTCCCACCGGGCAGCAGGGAAGGGAAACGATTCACACAATAGCCGCTTTTAGTGTACGCCGCAGTGGAACCCTTTAGAAGAAAAAGGCCAAACAAGAAACAATACAGAAGAGAAGAGAGCACTGTTCTCATTTTGTTTGATACTCCCCACAACACTGTCAATTTAAACATTGGAAAATAGAGTTTATCATTTGTCATCGCATATTCATGTAAGATTGTAAAAAAGTGAGAAACAAACGGAATACAGGATAATTTTATCTCCTCTACCGGATGGTCCTCTGCTTCTGTATTAAGGGTATCTGTGTATTTGTGGCATTGCGACAGTAGTGGACGCCTACTTTTGGAAGCTGTCTTGAGTTAACACAACTTAAAAATCCAACTAAGGTTTGACTAAAACAGAGACACAAGACCACATTAATGTTCACCTCATTGTAACACACAGGCTTAGGAGAGTTAGTGCTGATGCTAATACTTTATCATCATAAATATCATACATATATGAAATCTGTTATGATATTGTACATATTGGGGGAAAAAATCTATTTAAAAAAATGTATGATTAAATAATTCCATTCCACAGTCATGCAGTACATGGGGCAAAAACTAACACTTGTACAATAAGAATGTAATGATGAATTCTGTCAGTAATTAACTGTAATTTTCCATGTAATCAATCATTTAAACCACAGAATTAAAAAAAACGAGAACAAAGGTAATCACATCATCAGCACAGCTAAACGATTTTATTACTCAATTAGTCAATTTCTGCAATGTAGTTCTACTGAAAGTATGAGGACAATACTCTTGGATTACTAACCAGCTTGACCTGAAAGATGTCATGCATGAATTGGTGACTAATTCATGGAAAAACTTGAATGTTTAACTCCCACACTGAGGGGCTCTGGTGGCTCTGTTATGCTGTGGGGGGCGTTTTGCTAACTGGTGGTGTGGGTCCACTTACATCCTTTGAAGGAAAAGTGACTGTAAATCAATACAAGCTGTTCTGAGTGGTCACCTTTACTGCATGATGAAACATTTCTACCCTAATTGAAGTGGTCTCTTCCAGAATGATAGTGTCTCCATCCCTAGGGCATGAGGGGTCACTGAATGGATGGTGACCTTCGCCTGATCTCAACCCAATCAAACACCTAGGAGAGATTTTGGGCTACCATGTTCGACAGTGCTCTCCACCACCATGCTTTAAAGCACAAAATGAGGGAATATTGTTACTGGAAGAATTATGTTGATCTATATTAGGGCCACATTAAGAAAAATTTTTCCACAGACTTCAAGAATAAAGTCGAAATATTAGGAGAATAAAGTCGTAACATTTAAACTAGTTGTTTTAGAAGAGGGAAGTTGATGAAAAGAGGGCGGTGGAGCATTACGTGAAGTTGTAATTCAGCATCAGTTTCACAAACCAGGAGATACTTCATCTTTGAGTCTGCATCAGCACCACATTATCATTAGTATCAGGACTTTGAAAACAATCTGCAAGAAAATTCTATTCTATCTATTCTGAAGGTTCTTTCTTTGGAATAGATTTTCTCTTCTAAAACAACTGGTTTAAATGCTACAATTTCACTCTTGTAATATTACGACTTTATTCTTGTAAAATTCAGACTTTTTTTCTTGTAATATTACGACTTTATTCTCGAAGTATTCTTAATGTGGCCCTAATACTCTGTCGTACCAGTTCAGTTTCAAAGACAATGAGAATCAATGCCAAAGTGCAATGAAGCAGTTCTGGTGGAATGAGGTGGTCCAGCACCTTATTAACACACAATATGTTGTCCTTTACTTTGTCTCTACAATGTGGTGATTGTATCTGCTGTGGTTATAAGAAAAAAAAATGGAGCCCTAAATTGGAATGAGATCAGAAAAACTTTAGACAATTTTGGTGAAGGTGGTCCCAACAGTCCCCAAACCCCCCAAATTCTGGCAGCATTCGTGCTACAGAGAGATGCACAGGAACTGCAGAGAGCTGAAAACCTAAAAGTGTCCTATTGTCTAACTCTGACAAATATATGTGAACGCTTGCCAACAGATGAAATTCGTCTCACACAGTTTTCTCCAGGGACCGCTTAAGATCTGTTGCTTCTGACAGATCTGCTCATCTTCAGTTCTCATTTTGTGCTCTGCGGTTTCAGAGATTTGTCGTCAATGAGCTCAAGCCCTGAAATAATGAATGAGGAACCAGATGACTGGAGGTGCACAGTCATTGTGATGTTATACATGGTTGCATCACAGGGTGTGAGGTGCCAGTGACACTAATACAACAAACGCTGCGAGAGGAAAACTGTTGTCTGGGGCCAGTGAGACAAGACAGGGATGTTGTACCAGAGTTACTAGTATTCTTTATCTAATACTGACAATCACTTTCAAGCCTTTTCATTACTTATGAACCACAATGTGAGATAAATGAGGCTTCTGATTTACATTTAAGGCAACGACACAAAAACAAATGCCAAAAGAAAGTAAAATGGAAAAACCCCAAGCTTCTACTATAAGCAAATTTCTACACAAGAACTTACCAATATCTAATTTCACTTCTTCAAATCGGTGGCTTAGTGACAATACTGGAATTTCTATAGAAGGCATTTGAGGGGTGTTTGATTGACTGACACATGCACCATTATTCAACACAGAGTCCTGGTGACTGCAGCTCACCTGCCTCTACTCAGTGACACCTTCAAATTTGTATTTATGGTTTCGAACAACTCACAAGGTGGTCCACGTTCAAAACGTTTTCCATTTGGAAGGGATTTAACAATCCCCTTTTGCACAGTATGGACTGACAACTTTGTTTTTGTGGCCAGCCAGCCTACGCAGCAGATGCAGAGAGGAAGAGGGGATATGGCTGAAATAATCTGGATTTTAAATGTATTTTAAAATATGTCAAGCTTTTATCTCTGAAGAAACTCTCAATCTCCAACTGTTAGCCAGTTATAAAAACAGTAATACAAACGCAATGCAGGCAGATTGTGAAGTTAAGTGGGTGATGACAAACTGATAACCTCCGGTACTGATGACCTACTTGAGCTCAAAATCAGTACACTGTTGTTGTGAGCTTGACAGGGAGAGAAGAGCAAAGCCGCAGAACAGACAGACTAAGCAAAGCTTGGGAAGACTATATCCCAAATATCTGATTACATTTTATACCACAGATATTGCACCTCTAAATTAGACAAAACTGGCACAATGTTACACAAATGCACATATTTGTGTACTTCTTTTTCACCAGCATAGGCGCATACAATCTTCCAATCTAACCTAATGACTCACTGCTTTCTCCATCATTGGTTCAAAGAAATTCTCCCTAAGCGTTCGCCCACATTATTAATGTTGCGTACAGTTGTTCAGACAAGGTGGCTCGTCTTAATTACAGGAACAGCTCACATCATCCTCCCAACTACCGGAAAAGCTGTGTTGAATTTACAAGCACAAGGCAAAGTATATAATTCTCTCAAAATATTGATTCAGCACTGCTTCATTAAAATGACAGGAAGTCCTACTTGCAGTTGTTCATGTTAATTAGCTTTTGATCAGGGCTAGAAGACGTCACATCACAAAGAGTAATGGTGGAACTAATTCAAAAGCTTCTCATAATGTGTCAGTTATCATCGTGAATCCTGACTGTAAATGTGATTTCCTCATGCTCTGCTCTTAAAGTAATGATCCCCCTTCTTGTTAGATTCTGAAATTCACCAACAAGAATGAAAGATCTGGTAATGAAAACAACGGTGGTGACAGGTTCCTACCTTGGAGGCAACAATGAGCGATCTTTTCCCCACAGGACAGACCACCATCAGCCAATCAGTGTCCAGTTCTGACGGTACATCGACCAGCCATTCTGACAACATGAGCTAAAGTGGAACAGGAATATTATTAACTAAACATTTCATCTTCATCAACATGGGATTTAAGAGTAAAAGAATAATGGAAATACAGAAAATAGTGTTATTTATCACACGGTTTTATACCAGATAACAAAGCTGTAATTGTAGAACTCATGCGCCCTCTGCAGGCCAAGTTTAGAATGCAACAGAAAGCAAAATAGGCTGTCCATCACACAGGAATGAGAGTAATCTCTCTGGGTAAGAAGACATCAAACGCTGACCTGGTTTGCATAATGTTTTGGCAGCTTCCTCCTCTCAATCTCCATCCCTTCCTCTTCTGCATTGCCATCTTGCTCCCGTTCCCCGTCCTCCTGTTTCTCCATGTCTTCCTCCCCATCGCTGTCTGCCCCCGTCCAGTCCCCGTCAGCCAGACGTCGCGCGTGGTTGACATAATTTAACCTTTTACTGAGATGAGCGACAAAAAAAAAAAATAATAATTTGGACACTTTTGCCATGGGATTGTTTTGAACAAGATCTGTGCAATTTAACCGCCTCGAAAAAATTGGTCAGTAAGTTGTGATTTTAAAATAACTAACTGCATCCAGCATAGAGACAGTCATGCTTAACAAACCCGAATATTGCTATTTACTGGACAAGTGTGTAAGTTGTGAGTGTGCAGATGAAAACAGGACAGTCAGATGTAGGACATGAACAATGATAGAAAAGTAGAACCCTTAGTATTGAGCCTTCACTAGTGAAAATGTGTTAATTTTGCAAGATAGACATAATCTCATCTTATTTTACATCTTAAACAAGAAAATACATAATGGTTACAGATATTAATGTACAATTTTCCATGTCAGTATCAAAATATGTACTGTTTGAAATGTTTAAACACTAAACGTGGAAGGCATTTACATTTTCTGCAGGTCAAGAAATCGCCGTCGTCGCTCACTCTGCTCCAGCACGCTGTACTTGCTCTTGTACTGGGCCAGCCGGGGGTGGGGGCCGGCAGTACTGTTGGGCTCCTTGGACACAGCAAAGCTGGCCGAGAGTGCTTGGGTGAGGTCGTCCATGGGGGAGACTGGAAATCAATACATCAGGGGCTAAGCATTTCTATATTATAAGGAAAGGTGTTGATAAATTTGAGAATAACTGCTATAAGTAAGCTGGACATAAAAACAAAGGAACTATTTGTGCCACAGATCATTCATTTTCAGGAGCAGCTTGCAGGACTGATCTATTTGTCTGCTAAAACATTACCAAAGAATGGCATGCCAGATATATAACACACAAGATATACAAAACAAAGTGGGGTATTGCACCAAAATAGTGCTGTTTTTTGTGAAGCACTAATGTTCCAATTGAGTCTTTTGCAGTTCTGAGGAAAAGCTGCAAGTCATTTAGCACAGTCATCTTCTGTATTCTGGCAGGTCAGTCCTTTTCCTGCTTACGGCTGCTTGATATTTGCATGTTCATTACTCTGTGTGTGTGTTTAAACATTTGTGGAAAAAATGGATGAACAATAGTCATATACGCAATGTCAGTGTCAGTTTTCCAGAGTCAAAGCTGATACTCAGATTTCTAATAATTTTAGATAACAGTTTAAAACACAAGTATGTGTAATTCACAATAAATGACGTACTAATCCTTTCAACTGTAATGCAGACGACTGGCTGCCAGTTGAAAGTCTGTCATTGATCATTAGTCAAGCTAAATTCTCTGATTCCAGATACTTAATTATGAAGGTTTTCAGTTTCTTTCCTCCTCTATGACAGTACAATAAATATTTTTGGTTTGTGGACAACACTAGATATTTGTTATGTCAGGCTTTTAAAAAACCATGATGACTATTTTACACCATTTTTTGGCATTTCAAGACAAGACAGGTAATCAAGAATTTAATTACATGAAGATGTAATCATTATAAATCCATATCACTGTCATATGGACATATAGCTTCCAGTCATAGTCAACATCTGATAATATTCACAGTAAACTTATTTGTTCCTGTCTGCACACTAGACCAGAAAAATGATGTGTGTGTTGTGACAGGAAAACTGTCATCTTGTGCCAGAAAGCCACAACAGCAATACTAGACCAGAATTACCAGTCATTTAAAAAAAATAAAAATCCAGAGTATTTTTTTCTGTTTGTTTTTTCTTACACATAAAGAAACTAATATTACAGTATGAGCTAAACGAGGCACCTTTTTAAGATTTAAGACTGCTACACAAAAACAAATAATGAAATAAAGTAGAATGGGGCTCAAACATCTAAACAAGAAGATGTCATGGGGGATAAAGTTAGCCAAGTTTCAATTCAACGTAAGTTACACCCTGAATTAGCACCTGGACAAAATGTGAGGCTTTAAGAGGGCATTTAATCAATGTAAACAACACTTCGAGCATAGAACTGAAAGATAAACCCTCCTTTAGATGGTAGATAACAGGATGCTTCACTAAGAGCTGAGGAATCCTGCTATCGGTGCTACATGTAGTCGCTCACGTATCTTAGCAGCTAGCATAGCATAGCGCTAAACCTGCTCGCATAGTGCGGGTCGACAAGCGGTTAGCAAGCGTCACTCTGGAATCTTCTGCTACTGTTTTCACCTACAAGCGTCAAAAAAACAAGCACTAGACAATAAACTAGGTCACGTATTAGCTGTTAGCACCAGTTAAGGTAAACAGATACCTTGGATAGTCGGGGAGGCTGCCGCTGCTGCTGCTCCAACGTCACGCTGTCATCGTTCCTGTGCCCGGGGAAAGTTTTTGGTTGGCCAACCAGCAGCACAAAACTAACCCGGAGTTTTACGCAGCAGCTTCTGCACGGGACAGGAATGCTTTGCTAAGTTTATGCCACACCAGTTTTGTTAAAACAAAACCTTAAGTGCCCCAGAAAGAGCATTTACTTAATTAAATATAGTAAAGCAAGTACATTTCTGCCCCCCCAGAAATAGAGAAACTTCTAACTAAAAACAGTATAGTTCTTTATTGTCACTGTGGAGCCAATGTTAAAAAGACTACAGCAGTAAAACATGGTTGTAGCATCCTCTGTGGCAGCAATACACAAGTAAAAAAATAACGGGAAAGGAAAGATACATATATATATTTATAAAATATTAAACATTTAAAGCAAATACTATGTAGTAAAGAAGGTAGAGACTACAGTATTTACAGCAGATGGTATCTACAACAGCATAAGTGACATGTGCAAATTCTTAAAAATATATTAAATACAGTACTTGAAAGGAGGACATTAAGGCTACCTAAGTAGGTGAATTCACTTTTTGCCCACTTGCCAACAAATTCACCCTATTTTGATTCCTATTTTCAGTTTGTTTTCTGTTATAGTCTGGAGATAGTAAAATCTGAACTACACTTGCAAGAAACCATCCCATACAAATGAAAACTTGTGCTCTGATATCCTGTTGTGAAGAATTTGTTTAACCTATGCACCAGATATATCGCGATGTTAGTGTAATAGCTGAATGTGAACATTGCTGTCCTCGAAGAAGTTTTCCTTGTCTTTTAAATGCCCCTATTTTTGTCTCGGAGTGCTGCTGAATCTTTCGTTGTTATTAGATGATCAAGGCTATACAAATATAAGTAGGGATCCACAACAATAATAATCCTCTTAGCTCTGGAGACAAGACAGATAATTGTATGTCAGGTTTGGGCCCATTATTCACCTATGTTAAACAAGAAGCTTGAAATCTCAGAACAATTTTCAGTTCATGTCCCGACTTTAATGCTCAGGGGACAAAGGTCATACAGTCTTGTTTCAGTCAGTTTAGGTCAGATCTCTAGGGTCAGATCTTCTCTTTCTTTTTCAAACTTAGAAAATGTTATTCATCACATATAGACTCCATTACTGTAATTAATTTTACTCCAGTATCAGTAAGAGAAACATTCATAGTCTTAGATAGTCCTGGAGTCCATCACTCCAGTTCTTGCCAGCCATCACTGGCTACCAGTTAGTGTTGAAACTCACTTTTGTTTTTAAAACCTTATGTTACATTTGTAAAAAATATCAACTTCTTTTGAACCTGATGGATCGGAGATCTTCTACCAGAACTTTTTCTAAATCTCCCCTTTTGACCAGAGGTGAACGAACCATTGCTGTCTGTGGTCTTATAAGGTAAACAAGTCTCTCCCAGAGGATCTCAGACTATCAGTGTGTTCTTTTAAAACATTACTGAAAACTGTCTGTTATCCAAAGACTGTCTTGCTTTTATATATTTTACTATGTTGGCCTGCTTGTCTTTCTATAGCTCCATTGTGGTTATTTTATTCTTTTGTTTATATGTTTTTTTGTTGACCTGGTTTTGTCTTGTGTATTTTAATCTCTGGTTTGTACAGCACCTTGAAACATAGAAAGGTTCTGTGTAAATAAAGCTATTATTGTTGGTAGGGATGCACGGTATATCGGTGACCACATCGGTATCGGCCGATGTTAATGTTTTTTCCATATGTCAGTGTCGGTCCGATGAAGAAATTTAGCTGATGTGAAAAACAGATGATTGTCTAACATTAGCGTCTCTACATTGGACATTGCTGCTGTTTCACAGATGTTTTTACTTAAATGGCCCTGGACTTGAACATTAAATATGTCTAAATATGTTTTACTTTTATTGCATAATAAAGAAGATTATGTAGTCTAACTTATTATGGACTTCTTTTGAATAGTTTTTACCTTCTCAACAGCGCATACTTATATTCATTTTTTGGTGTGAACAAAATTTGAATATCGACATCGGTAATATTGGTTATTGGTGATATCAGACATCTTAATATCGGATATTGGTATCGGCCAGAAATTTTATTATCGTGCATCACTAATTATTGTTATTAGTTTTGCACTTACATATTTTTATCTGACAGGTTTTATCTTCTGAATTTGAATTTCTGCTTTGTACAGCACCTTGAAACATAGAAAGGTTCTGTGTAAATAAAGCTATTATTGTTGTTAGGGATGCACGTTATATCGGCGACCACATCGGTATCGGCCGATGTTAATGTTTTTTCCGTATGTCAGTGTCGGTCCGATGAAGAAATTTAGCTGATGTGAAAAACAGATGATTGTCTAACATTAGCGCCACTACATCTGATATTGCTGCTATTTCACAGATGTTTTTACTTAAATGGCCCTGGACTTGTACATTAAATATGTTAAAATATGTTTTACTTTTATTGCATAATAAAGAAGATTATGTGGTCTAACTTGTTATGGACTTCTTTTGAATCTCACAGTGCATACTTATATTCATTTTTCGGTGTGAACAAAAATTGAATATCGACATCGGTAATATCGGTTATTGGTGATATCAGACATCTTAATAGCGGATATTGGTATCGGCCAGAAATTTTATTATCGTGCATCACTAATTATTATTATTAATATTGCACTTATATATTTTTATCTGACAGGTTTTATCTTCTGAATTTGAATTTCTGCTTTGTACAGCACCTTGAAACAGTTTTAGAATGATACTATATAAAAAGTTGCTATTTTTATTATTATTATTATTATTATTATTATTATTATTATTACTTATTTTTTGGGGGGGGGTTGTTTTAATGACCATTATATATATGTGTGTATTATTTACTGCTACTATTAATATTGTTGTTGTCATTATTATGACTATAATAATACTGATACTTGTTGTTGTTATATTCCAGTACACTATTGCTACTATTATTGTAACAATTGTTATTGTTGTTGTTATTCTAATCACAAGATACCACGTGTTTAATCATCTTTATTGTCACTATGTGATTACATAAAGGTGTATGTTCTGCTATGTTCCTCCAGCTGGGGGCGCTGTTGAGCCTGTTTCTCCTCTTTTAAAGAACATAAAGGATTTGATGAAAAAAAGAAAAAGAAAAAGGCGAACTTGCCTTCAATTGTCCGAGCCTCACGTCATGGAAAGAGTTACTTTGTTGCAGCGCGCACAGGAATAAACTCCAAGAAGTAGCCGGGGCCCGCGCTGCGTGTTGATACGCCGGAGCACAGGATTGTTTTGGTTGTTTGTTCTGCTTTTTGTGAAACCCGAAGGATCGACCGAAGATGCGCAGGAACCTGTTTACAAGGAAAACGCAGCAAGTTTCAGTCTGAGGGAATGCGGTGCAGGCTCAAAATGTACAGGGATACCATTACTCATCCCTCTGTTTTTCTTCTCGCCGGACCACTTTATCTTGGGAATAGTTTCATCAAGGATCATTTTTAGGCTCCGTAATGAGAAACAAGTGTTCGCTAAGTGGAAGACGCGAGGTTGCAGTCCGGTTTCAGAGGATTAAAACGACCGTCGGTGCTTTTGGAGACGATCTTTGGTGAAAACAGTTTTGGTTTTGAACCTGTTGTGTTTGTGATGCGAAACGAGGTAGAGAGTCTTTCTGCTATGAGGGATTTATCTTTTCAGAGAGCCTTAACAGCCTGAAGTTATTGTTCGACCTTTAGGTAGAAGACAATACTAGATCAGCAGCCTCAATGGCCTGACAACAGACATTTTCTTTGTGGATAGAAGTAACCGTTTTATGTAACTTTTGACATCTTCTGTGTAAGTGTCCGATCATTCAGTTTACAAAGGTCATCTTGTGCTGTTGCACACCTGATCCAACAGCTGCCATGTAATTTGAGATGAGTTTAAATATTACAGTGAGCTTGTGTCCAATGTTTCCAATACAGCATGCACCGAGACAGTAGCATCAGTTTAATCTAGGCACTATGTGCATGTAGAGTTTTTTGGTTTAGGACCCGCTGGAGTATCAAGATGTCAGTGAAAGCCAAAGCCATCTACACTTTTGTAAGTGAAAACAAAGAGGAGATCAGCATCCAGGAGAACGAGGTTCTGGTGATCTTTGATGAGAACTCAGTGGACGGCTGGTTTCAGGGGGTGAACAGTCGAGGGGAGAAGGGTCTCTTCCCTGCATCCTATGTGGAAATTATTCGCACTCGCTCCAACTCTAACGTGACCGACTGCTCCATCAGCCCGGCAGGCTCTTTAGGAAATGACTCCTCCTTCCGCCCGTCCACCCCAAACACCCCTTTTCCGCCAAATTACTATTACGACGACGATGACGATTGGGACGACTGGGATGACAGGTCCACCGTGGTGGATGATTCTGATCATGCTAGGAGCCCCGGAGCCAATGGACATGCCCATCAGAGCCCGCTGTCCAACAACCCCAATGTGCACTATCGGGCCAAGACACCATCCGGACAGGACAGCATCTCCAGCTCCAGGAAGGGCAGCATGGTGGGCAGAAACTTGAACAGATTTTCCAGCTTTGTCCGCTCAGGGGTGGAGGCGTTTGTGCTCGGTGACGTCCCCATGATGGCAAAGATAGCTGAGTCCTACACCATTGAGATGGGTCCCCAGGGGCCCCAGTGGAAAGACAACCCACAGCCTTTCTCCTGCTCCATTGAAGACCCCACCAAACAGACAAAGTTCAAGGGTATCAAGACCTACATTTCATACCGGGTCACGCCGAGCCACACGGGGCGTCCCGTCTACAGACGCTACAAACACTTTGACTGGCTGTACAACCGTTTACTGCACAAGTTCACTGTGATCTCTGTTCCCCACCTGCCTGAGAAGCAGGCCACGGGGCGGTTTGAGGAAGACTTCATCGAGAAGCGCAAGAGGCGACTGATACTGTGGATGAACCACATGACCAGTCACCCAGTCCTCTCCCAGTATGAAGGCTTTGAGCACTTTCTGATGTGTGCCGACGACAAGCAGTGGAAACTGGGCAAGAGACGGGCAGAGAAGGACGAGATGGTGGGCGCACATTTCATGCTGACACTCCAAATCCCCAACGAACACCAGGACCTTCAGGACGTTGAGGAGCGGGTCGACAACTTCAAGGCCTTTGCGAAGAAAATGGACGACAGCGTGATGCAGCTCACACACGTTGCCTCAGAGCTGGTGCGTAAACACCTGGGTGGATTCAGGAAGGAGTTCCAGCGGCTGGGAAACGCCTTCCAGTCCATCAGCCAGGCTTTCATGCTGGACCCTCCCCATAGGTCAGATACCCTCAACAATGCCATCTCCCATACAGGCCGCACCTACGAGAACATTGGAGAGATGTTTGCAGACCAGCCTAAGTATGACCTCTTCCATATGCTGGATAAGTTGTCGCTCTACCAAGGCCTGCTCGCCAACTTCCCTGACATCATTCATCTACAGAAAGGTGAGCTTATCCTTGAGCAGTGACAGTGCGTATGAGATTTTTCTGATGTCCGTATTCATGCTGTTAAAGAGAAGCAACAACTAAATAAAAAGCAGATAATTGCGCCTATAATCAACACAGATGGTTGGATGTATCCACACAATCCCAACTGTTTTTCATTCCTTTAGCTTATTTGAGTTAAATGTCTAAAGCCAGCCCTTAATTCAAAATGACAAAATAATAACTTAGTTTCTCCAGCCACTAGGCCACATAATGAGCTTTTTATGTCACGCCATTAAGAATTTATGACAGGGTATGGCTGCATCGAAGGGAGAAGAATCTTCAAGGTTCTAGCAGATTATTATTTAACCTAAACAACTTTATTGCAAGTGAAATTCAGTATGAGGAAGTCCTGCATCATCTACAATGGAGAAGTGTTTTAAAAGCTTTTGTAACAGTTCACAATAATATACAATGTCCACTAAGAGGAACAAGATAAGCTGGGGGACTTCAATCATGTTTTGTTACTCAATCTGTGCAGTTTATTTTGTTATGGATGACAGCTCAGGTCAGGTTTTGCCTCCAGCATCTCCCCCCTCCCCTCAACACACTCACACAAATGCTCCATACACCATGTGAACCCCAGAATTAATTATACTGTTACTGTGTTTACTATGTGTGTTTTATGTGTTGCTCGGGGATGTATATTAGGTCGCTCCCACATGCTGTCATGTTGATTTGCTTTGACAGCTGTGCAAATGGGTTTCTCATCACCTAACACGATTTGTCAATCTATAAATTAGTTGATCGATAGACACTTCATCTGCAACGGTTGTGATAGTCATTATCCAGACTAAAATGCCAATATTTTCTGCTTTTAGCTCTTTTTTCCCCTCCAAAGGACAAAAACGCAAAATTTCTTATTGTACTTTAAAGTAAATTACAAAATAATTGAAGATATAGATGTACACAGTTGCATATTCTAATAGAAATTCATACCACTGATGAAATATTCCATATTTCTGAAGCATATTACACTGAAAAACCTTAATAGTACTGACACGACACAAGGTAAGCATCGGCTGTCATCACAGACTAAAAATAAATCCACTTTGTGCCTATCCTGTGATGCAGCTAGTAACCACTAATAGTATGTTTAGAACTGGTTTGTCTGTTGTTGTGAAAGTGAACCTTTAAATTCTTCTTTGTTCTGTTCAAAATTTGATGATACAAATAGGCCAGAGTTTTGTTGTGGTGTGATGTTACAACCAGCAGCGGTGATGTGAGAAGGACACTTGAGCATCACTGGTAGGTTGTGCTGTTTGGACTGAGCAGTCTCAATAAGAGACTGATGTTATCAGGTTGCCTCAACCAGTGTGACCATTGGCCTTCCTGGTATGTTGGCCAGTCCTGTGGTTTTAAATCCAATCAGGGGGAATTCACGTGTCAAGTAGATATGTTAAGTTGTGATGCTTGACAGATTATTGGCCTGGCTGATTATCGCAGGGAATCCCAAACTTTTCAGCCCCCGACCTCCCAAATTAATTGTGCCAGAGACTCACAAGGCTTACTATCCTCAAAGGTGGTTGAAGCATACAAATGTTGTATCCAGATGTGTACACAAACCAATAGGCCTGTCCGAACACAGGCATAACATAAGAAGGCAGGGGACACCCTGGACAGGTCACCAGTCTATTGCAGGACTACATTTAGAGACAGACAACCAAGCACACTCCCATTCACACCTACAGACAATTTAGAATCACCAATTAACCTCAAGCCGGAGAACCCGGAGAGAATCCACGCTGCACGGGGAGAACATGCAAACTCCACGCACAAAGATCTTGGGTGTCCTCACCGGGACATGAACCGGCGACCTCTTATAATCAAACATATGTAAAATATCAGTAAATCAAAACATTTTAACAAAGTGTTGTGATGCAGTTTGTGGTATTCTAAATTGAATTTTAATTTTTATTGCAAATGTATCTGCTCCTAAAATCGGTTTTCAATTTCCTTGATTAACTTGATAACTGCATTGGCTCTTAAAAAAACTTATACTGAACGACCCCTACTTGATGTTATTGCTCATTACCCGTTTGACCCATTTTATTAATTCACATTTACTCCAAACATATCGTCATTGCCTCTGCTGAGAATGCAAAGTACATCTTGTCCTTTGCACTAGTTTTGACAACTGATGCTGTCTGCTTCGCATAAACGTGTTTAATGAGTAACTTAACTGACCTGACATCATAAAACACATCCTTGTCCTGCAACTGCACCACTCCTATTTGAATATGTTACAGCTGTGTTTAGGATGACCAGTTTTTGTGGGTTTTTTTTCATAATACTTTGACCAAATATTAGTTCTAGTATGCACTGGGCTCTTCAGTTAACTGTGTTAGATTTTCAGGCCAGAAGGAACTGGTACATCAGCAATCTGTGTCAGCTCTCTACCAAGGTATCAGCTGATCGGGGTTAGTTCAGCAGGAAGGAAGAGGGCTGCTACCAGTGAGGAAGGAGTAATGCTGCTGCTAAATGTTATTATCTTCTTCAAACAGCTGGTGCTCATTATCACAGAGGTCGTTGGTGATACAATGCAGCTTGTTACATTTAATAACCCCGCCCAGGAATTAATGAGAAAACCGCTGCCATCCGAATTAAATTAAAGGGTCAGTCCACCCAGATAACACCAAAACGAAATGAATTCTATTCAATCCTGTTGGTGTCACATGCAGATGTTTTCAGGACTGTGAAAAAATACTTTTTTAAATGCTAGAAACACTGCAGAGGAAAATTCCATTTAGCTCCAATATATTAAGGTGAAAAGCTCAAAGTTGGGACACATTAAACTGAAAAGACTTATCTACTGTAAGGGGTTAAGTATAAAATGATTTTTGATAAACAGACTCTTCAACGTAACACTTTAAGCCGATCTGGCTAAGAACTGTTTAAACAGCCAAACCTATGGTGGCTATTGTTTAGCTATACAGCTCTGTTGTAACCACCATTACTGAGTCAGTTTTCTGGCTTTATGCCTACTCTCTCTTATGCTTGTGTTAACTTGTACTGCCTTTTGTTTCTTACTTTTCAGTGATGAGAAAACATTACAACCATTTTCAGAATACCTTGTTTTGCAGAGTCATCTTTAACATAAGTTCATCAGGTCTGTTGTTGTGTAAAAAAACAAAAAACAAACTTGTGCTGTAGAGACAAGGACATGCCATTAAACAGATTAGATTAGTGATGGTTTGCAAACATCTAATATTTTTGAGAACCGTGGGAGGAGTGAGCAGCTGACCTCAAGCTTATTAAGCTTCTTATCTTGTGGCGTTTGCTCATAACATACTTTATAGGGCTGTAGTCAACTAAAGACATATTCAACTGAAATCTTAACTACTATTAAACCAGTTGATTGGTTGTAGTGAAAAACAATCTGCACAATCTCTCTTCATTAACTAAATCAGCCACAGTCTACTCAGCGATGGGTGATATGCAACCAGCTATTTGCAAAGTTTGCACTCGATTTTTTTTGACCATCTGTTTCAAGAAAATGCAGCCGCAGCGATGACCCCCTTGTTGTCTTGTCTATTATTTTGGAGCTGATTCTAACTAAACCAATAGGTTTGAGGGGTATGAAGTAGTAAAATAATGCAAGTTGTCTCTTCTGCCTCCAAAAATAAAGAATCAGTCCTGGAAGGCTGCTGATATAGTACTTTTCTCCTTATAAAAATACCAGAGGTGATTATATGACCAATCAGAATTTGGCTGGATGTTTACCATATTGATCACCAATTGACCTAAACAACACAGCCCTAACAGTTTTCTATTTGTCCACATATTTTTGTTTTGCAGCTTAGTTTTACTCTTATCTCTACACTTGCCAAGAGTATGCTTTGAATAATAAGCTGCCGCTCTTGGCATTCACTTTCTCATTTGCGGCTGACAGTTGGCACACAGTGCCTCGTGGCCTGATTGACTATTTTAGGTAGGCAAAGCTGTTTTTAGCTATCATTTAGCATTTGAGAAATTTGGCTTATTCTTTTGAATGAAAATGAATTCTTCAAAGTGGAATACTGAAAGCACGATGGGGGAATCTGCCAAAACTCAGGCATTGCATTGGCAAGAGCATTGTCAAATTAAAACAGTGCCACCCCGAGCCAAGAGACAACAAATACAGTACATGAGGACTTTTTGCAGTGCATTGTGTTTTTGTTCAGCCGGAGATCTTTTCCCTCTGCTGAGTCTTCCCTGCCGGTCCACATAACTCCCCTTGATGTGACTTGTGTTCTGCTGAACCAGATACAGCTGTGGCAACACTCAGAACACATAGAACTGAGGTCGACCTTTTCCTGTGCACTCCTCCTCCTCTTCAACTCCTTATTGCTTCTTTCCTGCCTGACTTCACTGAGGTCTACGGGAGCTGATTTCTAACTGTGATTCCAGTGAGCATGTGAACTACAGGAATGTTAACTGGCTTTAAGATGTGGTTGGTGGAGAGCCACACTTCATGCTGCTGTCATAAAATGTGTCCAGGAAGAAGAAGGTTTTGGGCAGTGTCAGAAAGACGTTAGGGTGTGCTCCATTTGTCTCTCTGCTCCAGTTTCTTAGTTTTAGCTTTTACTCAACAAGTTTTCTCTTCTAATCTCTGCTATTGCTCAATGAGGGATTCTGTCTGCGATAAATAATCCATCCCTCTTTTGTTATCCTCCTCACTAGTATTACTCACCTGTTTCCACCACAGACATCCATATCAGGTACACTCTTCCTGGACAGTTTCCCTTGTTTTTGTCAGTATAAAAGTGAATCAATTCCGATGCAGATGCTTCAACTCCTGACAATGCAGTTTGAGCCTCTGCCACCATCATGCTTAGACAGTGATCTCATTTGAATACAACTGAACGACTTGATTTTGAAGGCTTAATGACATTGCATTGTTATAGAATCAAGGGCCCTCTGAGGCATTTGCACTGCCAGATACAACTGTTTCGTGGTAATCCTGATCTCCGAAATTGTCT